ACCGTCAAAACAGTGTCCATTTTCACCTTACTTCTATTGACAGCATTATGAATGACCAGTTTTTCAACAATTGGCTAAACATTACATCCATTGTATACATGATGTGGAGTTATGTTTGTCATGATGCAGTCATCTGGAGTAATGAGTGCAATGGAGGCTTTAGGGAAAAAATTGTGCTACATTTTTTTATGCACACAAGAGCTCTGGTAAGACACTCTGTCCTGAACCTGAGGCCACCCTCACTCAGAATGGCGTGATTTTTACAGTACTCAGCCATTTCTTTCCTGAAGTCACTACAAACAGTGCTGTACTACTCCTGAAATTCATGCTTCGCATTCTCCGCCCTGCTTTGTGACCAATATGCCTCAGGTGGGGGATTGGAGCCAGTGCAATTCTGATTTTCCACAGTGTTAGAAAAATATGGGAAATAGCTTCTCGTTTCACTCTCATACCCCAGAGCTGAAGGGAACGCGCTCATCTTCATGGGAAAAAAGCAAAGGGAATCAACCATGTAAATTTCAGCATGAGGTGCAATAAAAATGAACCCTTTGTAAAAAAACTGATGTGTGCTCTCTGCAGCCAAGTCCTCATTACAAAAAACATCTCTTAGGAGAACACGTATGAGCTTTTGGATTAGTTACATTAAAAGTGTACCTTTGGTTACACTCCTCACAATACTTGAACATGTCACACAAGCTAGGTACTTTACCGCTATTGGGTGGTATTTTAAGGGGTTTGCGCTGCTCAAAGCAATACTGCAAGCGGCAAATGGACCCAGTCCTCACACTGAAAACACTGATCTATGGCTATGTACTGATCAACACTGCAGTAATACTTGCACCTGTGTTCTGCTTTACTAATCATAATTAGATATACGATACACCAAAAAAAACCCATCAAACTCTTCTTGCCAAAATAATGCTGATCATGAAGGTAAAGGACGACTGTTTCGTCACGTGGCATTGAGTTTGTCTGACATTTAAAAATGTCAGCCTTGTCGGAATTGGACCGCGTGACAATCTTGGCACCAAGCAACTGCTCAAACTTCTGTATGCCTGAAAAGGAGTCCATAGACAACAACAACAAATTTATTTTTGTATAGCGCATTATCACAACATTACATTGTCCCAAAGCGCTTTACAGCATCCCCACCCAAAGCCCCCAGTGAGTAAGCCATAGGCGACAGTGGCAAGGAAAAACTCCCGAGAAGGAAGAAACCTTGGGAGGAACCAGACTCAAAGGGGGAGCCCATCCTCCAGGGGCCGGCAGGGAGAGTCAAATACAGTTAAATCTGAAACACAAACGGGGAGCAGGGGGGAGATGACAAGCCGGTGCCACCGCTCCCTCCAATTGCCAGGCAGCCAGAAGGCAGGGAGCGGGTCATACAAGGAAGATGACACAGGCAGAACGGCGAGCTGGATGCACGGACGTCATTGGACGTCACTCAGACCTTCTCCAGGCGTTTAGCTTCTCACTCTGCATCATTTTGTGAAAGCTCAGGGTTGAAGAGATGCACTACACACTATGCAAAGCATAGGCTGTTGCAATTGTTATTAAAAATAAAAACACCTGAGCTTTTCATAATAGGTCTAAGTTTATAAGACTCTGCAATTTCTGGGGAACACCACCATTAAGATTGAGGATTACTTGGACGACAAGCTCCAAGGTCTGGTATGCAAAAATCAGATTTACTCTGGGCAATTAAGGGTCTCTAACATTGAAAAATTTAGACATGCATCACTTCTAGTGTGTATGACATCATGTTGTTTTACCAAATCACCTTGCAGCCCAACTTATATGACATCATTTGGGGCAGCAAAGCCATGTCATGGATTCGGGTGGTTTGGGCATGGGGGTGTGGCATGGTGCAGGCTGGGAACACAGGGGATTAATTAACAAAACTGAAAACACTACAAAACAAAACAGACCTTGAGGGATCAAAAAGCAAAATAGGAAAAACAAAGACTACAAAAAGTTCATGGCAACAAGGAGCAGGCAAGCAGGGAACAAAATACAAAAAATTTAACTACAAAGGTGAACAATCTCAATACAACTGAAATACTTCACTGACATACAACAACGACCCACTGGGGAACTGAACTGAGGCAAGAACTTAAATACAGAAACTAAAATGGATAATGACACAGCAGGAGCGCGACATGAGACAATTAAGATATCAGGGAGGGTTGCAGGACAACGAGCAATCAGGAAACACACAAGGATCGGCACAACAGTCAACAGGTGAAACTAATAATTATCTCAGGGAAACGCAAACTAACAGAGAAACTAAGAAACAGAATCTACACTAGGGGAATAACAAGGACAGGTAAAACACAACCAAGGCACGAAACTAGAAAACTGATACAAATGAAACACTAGGGAACAAAATCTACACAAATACAAAAACAGAGGAGGCAGGATTTGAAAATGCAACAGAGGGATTTACAGGCAGCCGCATGCTCAACTCATCGAGCCATGCGGCCAATGGTGAGCAGGGGAAGCACTAAAGACTGACAACAGGGAGGACGGGATGGCCAGTGACACCTGCTGGCCAAATGGGGAGAAGACATGAAAGACTGACAGACAGATGCTGACCCTGACAAACTCTGTCCAACAGATTTCAGAAAGTCTGTTACAACCCTGTAGAAATCCTGCACATAACCAAGAGCTGCAGAATCAGCTAAATTTGATATCTTATTTAAATATGGTATTGTTCAACTATGGTCTGTGCATTACATTTACGTCAACAGCCCCACCACCACCCAGGATACCACCCCCGTGGTGCTGTTGCATTACATCTACATTTTCCAATATATCCAGCCCATTTTGATTTAAATCTATTAAGGGAAGCACTGAGTTCTGTCCTCATTTCAAGAAGTAAAGAGCATTCTTTTAGCAGCACTTACTGCAATAAAACTAGTTTGTCTTTGCCTCTCAGTCATGTCTCTGCTTACTCATTAGGTGCTGCAGGTAAAAGTGTCAAAACATCAAGCGCCCATAAGTTGCTGCATCCATGCCTGATGAAAAGGGCTCACGGCTGTAGGACTGAAAGGCTCACCATCAGAAGCATCTTCATTTCATTGTTCATTACTGGCTGCCAGGGTGATAAACATTTGTCATCGTCTGGCTCTGCCAAGGCCTGCTGAAGTGGATATAGCAACAGACATAGCAGGATATCTGGAATGCATGACAGTGTCATATGTAATAAATGCACAACAATATTAGTTAGTTGGGAAGAAAAATGTATGTTGTTAGACTGAATTCCAGATCATGTCGTGCATTGCTCAACAGCGACATCTTGTGGGCCTAGCCTCACCAGCCCCTAATGTAGAGACGTCCCTGTTTACTACCAAGCGAGATGAATGCCCTGTAAAATCCATTCAGTATTCCTTTATCCACCACACACACACACGCACACAGATTTATAATTATATCTTTGTAGGGACCTGAAAAATGGTCCCCATAATGTCAAAATAAATGGTTTTTATCACATTTTGAGGGACATTTGGACCCCACAATGTAATAAAAACCTAATCCCCCCCCTCACACACACACATACTAAAAGGGTTTTGAAGGGTTGTATAATAATCTAGCTTCGTAGTATACCCCTTATTTTAGATAACGTTTGATACAATTATTGTCAGATTTTTTTTTTGAGCAGAAGTTCAACAATTGGTGCTAAAAGCAGCACGGGCTTCATGTGGCTACCAGAACGCGTTAGCTAGGTATGTTGTCTACAGTATCGTCTTCAAAGCAGCAACCCACGGGAAAGTATAAATTCAAATATTTAAGAATCTGTTAAATCTTCCACATTTATATGCTTACAATACTGGCAAAGGGTCACATTAAAATGTCTTAAAAAGTCTCCATTAATCCTCTGTTTTGACTGAAGTTTTTTGCTAGGAAAATTTCTCATAATTCACACACTCATGCCTTGATCACCGTTTTTGTAAAGTTTCATTTATTGTTCATGCTTCAATTGTTGGACCTTTATTAAATAGAAACATAAATAAAAAGTGGGTGTAGTCACTGTAGTGTAAATGTATGGAGACTGATTCTGGTAAAGCATATGTGTGTGTGTGTGTGTGTAGTAAAATGTCACAAATAAAGGCAAACTCTGTCAAATCCATGACTTCTTTGGTCACCAGATACCCACAGCTAAAAAGAAGCTGAAATACTCCAAGAGCAAACAGCCATAAGTATCACAGGTTAGTCCAAAACCACAAAGTCTAACGAGTAAAACAACAAAACATCCAATGCCACAAATTAAGAGGACTGAGCAATGAGCAAACAGGAGGCAGTGTATAAATACAGAATCAAACAGAGAACAGGTGCAGACAATTAGCAAATGAGATGTATAGTGACCCAGCACTATAACCACTGAGGACCTCTGGTGGCCACTCAGAGGGAACAAAATACACCTACAGCTGACAATTTACATGTTGCAGGGCTCGATGCAGTGCGTACATTACTCCCGTGACCAACACTAAAATTATCAGCAATTTGTGCCACAGTTGCCCTTTACTTGATTTGCATCAGATGGGATAATCTTTGTTCACATCCTGTATCAGTGGGTCCCGGCTGCCCAAAATCCTGTCAGTGATTCATGTTTTTCCTTCCTTGAACCCCTCTGAATAGGACTCAACACAGATGACCACAAGCACCCTACAAGTCCTGCCGTTTCAGAGATGTTCTGACCCAGTTCTTTAGCCATAACAATTCAGACATTATCAAAGTCACTTGGGTCTTTACCCCTGCCCATGTCTCTGCAATCAACACATCAACTACGAGAAATGATGGCTGTCTAATATATCCCAGATTTTGACGTGCGCCATTTTTACAAGATCCACATTATTCACATCACCTGGGGGTCATATTGTTTTGGCTCATTGGTATATATAAATAATGCTACACTTTGCATTTCTGCTTAAAGCTAAAAAGTCTTTTTCGTTTTTATTAGAAAAAGTATGTAGTTTAATAAAAATCAGAGAATGCTTAAGTTGTTGACTCATTTTGGGTTTTATTTAATCCTGCCTTACATAACCAATGAAAGGAGGAGTCTTGTCCCCTAACAAGCTTCCAACCAGTAATACAACTGTTCCTTTCAAGAACACACAAAGCCAAAGGCCCTTTTCAGACGTCTCCAGATTGGGAGTTGAGAGAGTGCAGTCATATGAGCCGGTTTGATATGTCACACAAAGTGTAATTTACAGAATGTCTGGCTCTGTATTGATCCACATGAAATCACTGGCTGCTGTCAGCAGGGGACAGAACAACAGAAGATTTATTTAGTATGAACTACAAACAGGATTCATATGATTCATACTTAAAATGATGGCCACTCTAAATTGGACATTTTCTACGAAGATACGATTGAATTTAAGCTTTAAGGGAACATATATGGTTGTATTTTATTTTTGTTAGAAAATGTATTGATTATTCAATAGACACACAGATTACTGAACAAATAGAATTATTCATTGTTAATATCTTTCTCACTGACATTCCTACAGTTTCAGTGATTGTTCAAGATGTAGGAGGTTCAGGGAAAAATACAGTTTTTTTTTTTTATCTGATGGAAACAGCTATAAAAGACAATACCATACCTAAGAACAATCTCACTTTCATATACTACTCTATTGAAAACCACATCTAAGAAGCAATGAGCATTTGGTGAACTACTCTGCATCTTATGGGTCTAAAACCAAAACCTCCAGATTATTATTGAATATGATCCTTCCGTTCACCTGACTGCTGCAGTCAGGGCTACGCAGGAAGCTCATCACGCCGGCTTTCAGCTCTGGAGGTGCACTGTGGCTGAAATCCAGCACCTCAGTGAGAAAGTCCAGTAGCAGTTCCCCCTTCTCGTCACCGGGGATGAAGCATTCTGTGATGTCCATCGTTGAAGGCAACACAAAGGTTTCAAAGCTGATTCCTTCGGCAGTGAGGTAGCGCTTGATGTCTGCCGCTGTCACGCACTGGGTGATTTCAGTGCAACATAACTCCTTCTGATAAGTGCCCCACAGCTTGCCCCAACTGCTCTCTCCTGAAACAAAGAGCAATGAACCGTACATCATGATGAATTCGGGCACCAGGGAGTGCGTGTCAGTAACGATTCTGTCCTCTGCTTCCTACCCCTATCCTTCCCTTTCAGTCTGCTCATTAATTTCAGTCTGCAGGGCTAACATACAGCTTAACATTAGATAGTTTCTTATTCTGAACAATCCTGAAGTCATTACATTAAATTAACACTGTAACCTAAAAGATAAAAAAAAAATACCAGCAACAAGTATGATGAGAAGTTTTCCATTTTCATTCAGGAGACTCCGGAAAAACGAGATAGTAGCAGCAGTATCGGTGACATAATACAGCATCTGAGGGGGGAAAATGTAAATGTTGACATTCAAAATCCTCTCCAGAGAGCAGCTTTTAGGTCCAAAAGACAACAATGACAATAATGATTGCATTGCATTGGTGGATGTGTCAGCCAGCAGGGACTGAGTGTGTAGAATGGTGACAGGAAGCTTCTACTCTAAATACAAACTTCAGTAACTATTAATGACGTCCACAGTGAGGACAATGTGTGGAGTTTAAAATACAGAAATAAATATTTTTTTTCTGCTATATGCAAGCAATATGTGGGATTTGCAGTACGTGTCATATTCAAACATGTAAACAAAAGCCACTTGGACATATTTGATGTGCAGGATGCCTCTGCATTAAATGAAGTAGGAATGACATGCATATGCCAGCGGTATGTGGACTGGGACTGGCTGACCTGGCTTTCTCAACTGTATGTCGCTTTGGATAAAATCATCTGATAAATCACTGTCAAAGTGGAATGTTTTATATTAAAATGTTAGGTCATTTGTGATGTATTGACATGCTCAGGTGATGACATCATCGTGGCACAGCTCCAAAAATCAGTCCCAGTGGCACCACAAATTCTCACTGTAATCCAGTTACAGTGAGTGTGACCCCTTGAATGATTCACAGTACATGGAACAGTTCTGCACACTTTCCACATGGAGGCACCCTTGATCTGTATATGCACCTTTAAGGTTTTTTCCACAGCACTTGGTTCATTGTATTAATGCAGTGGATTCAATGTGAAATTACTCTTAATCTACTTATATAGGTAAAAATGTAATTAAAGAATGAAGCCCTTGCTTGAACTCACATCCTTTGGTTACAAGCTCTCATCTTCCAAAACACTGTTTGCCTGTTGAATGACGCTCCACTCAGCTGCCACCTATTGTCCAGTATTGGGGAAGTTCCTCACAAAAGTAATCCATTACAGACAGTTCAGGTCCAGAAAGTACAAATCCAAACCAAGGTTTTGTTTCAACCAACCAGTTGAGTGTAAAGAATCACAGTCACAGAGTACTCTGCTGGCTGGTTGAAACAAAACCTTGGTCTGGATTTGTACTTTCTGGACCTGAACTATGTGCAATTGATTTCTTTTGTAACTTCCCCAACACTGCTATTGTCACAGCAAAGTGAACTGCAGACATGTTCACCTGAATCATATGAATGAAGTCTAATTTCTTCTCCGACTGTCTCTCTCTCCAGTGCTTCTCAAACTCAGAGGCAGTCATCTGATTCCATGTGAAGTTTACATTACCCAAGTTGGGAGTTCTTGACACAAGTTCTATGTATGATAAAGCAACGTCTTTATATAAACATAATATGATGATTAAGTCAGTTAAAGAAACTCAGAAATGCATGATATGAATGCGAGTATTTGAAGTCCTAGTACCCTTGCATTTCTCCAGCATCGGCTCACTGGGTTCCACCATGTCACAGCCCACCTTCACATCTGGTAAAACCTTAATCAGCTGTGAAAGTATCTCCAGGTCCACCTCTCCTGCAAGACCGAAACACAGATTTAACTATGGAACCCAGAAATGTCCTGTGGATGTCGTCCATATACGTCTTTTTATGCTTCCATGCTCCTCCTACAGCATTCATCCTAGCTGGGTCCCGGAGGACAGACATTGCTGGTTCATGTCAGTAACTGACTGTAGTTAGAAGTTCTACAGATGGAAAAGGTTCTGGCAGTGAAGGTGTGGGTATCGTTAGGCTGACCAGCTGGCTGAGGACCTTTTGCTATTCCTGGGACAGCATCACACAATGAAAAATTCATGGGTACGAACTTAAGAGCTTTAAAGAGTGTTGAAGTTGCACTTCCAATACCTTTGTGCTAGACAGTGATAAATGTTACACAAAGAACCCTGCAGTTCCCCCATTAACCTTTCAACTTTGATTACTGTTCAGCAAATGGGTGTCTGAGTGAGGGTCACAATATGCAAACACATTAGGCCAATAAATGTAAAATGCTGATCCAAGACCACTTTAAATCAAATTTCAGACTGATATACAGGATACAAGAGAATGTGTTAAGTTACACAACCTCCACTGAAGATAAAGGAACTTTATTGTCATTATACTGAAGTACAATGAAATTTTGCTGACATCTCTTCTTGTGCAGTGATTTTAAAACAATGACAATGGAACAACAATAGAAAACACTGATTTAAGATAGACTGTGAAGGGGATTCATCCCTTGTCACGCCATGTCCCCAGCTACTTGTATAATGTGTGAATGAAGAGACTAGCTTTTATCACTAATTTGTTACCATGACAGGACCCAATACCACAATGTGATTTCTATCTATTGTTAAATCTGCTGTTTAAGATAAATTGTTCATATTTACAACCATATTCTTATCTTCACAAGCCAGTGAGAACGTCATACCTGTACCACTCCCCACTGAAATAACATCAAAGGTAGTCTTGCCCTCCCCAATGCTGGAAAAGACATACAACCTTTGTTAGAAGGCAGACTTCAGTATAATGCTGATAAGATTAATCAAACAGTTGACATATCAATAAGGGCTTAACTAAATCTGATAATATTTTGTAACAGCATATACTCTCACTTCTAAAGTTCATTACTGTAGGTAACATCGATCACTGTACTAATAGCTACACCTATGCAGAACTAGACCACAAATACAATACTGGGGCCAGTTCACTCAGAAATTCATGAATGGAAATATCATACGTTTTTCCTATATTTGTTATTCCTGCCATTATACATATTTTGCCATTGTTATTTTGCAATTATATAATCATCCTAAAAATAAACTTTTCAAACATTTTTCAACTGAAATCTACGCTTGACAAAAGCGGGTATTGTTTTAACTTTTACCGTGCGAAGATGTCAGGAAGACTCTCATGAATGAATTTACTCATAGCCTGATGCTCCGACGACAGTTCGAGGAACAAACGGAAGGTCTTGTGGTACCTTTCGTAGTCTAATGCAAGGCACTTCATACGTGAAGTCATTTTAGATTGCTGTTAAAATGTATATAAGAAAAATATACACGTTTTACATTACACCTACTACATTATTACTACATACATACTACTACAACTCCTCCTTAGTTCTGTAATATGAACAGAACCTCCGAACAGAAAAACATCGTACTTTCGAATTAAATAGCGATACGTAGCAATTAACTGTACAAAGAAGCGAAGTGATTCAAGAAATGCAACACTTTCTATTTTTTATGGAACAATATTAAAATGTTAAATGGCGTATCTGCGTGATAGCGTGAGTTACACACGACGCGCGGCTGCGGTAAACGACGCAGCGTTAAAACAGACCTTGGGCCGAAAAAACGATGAATGATGTCCGACTTAAAACCGCAAGCGCGGACCATCTTTATTTTCTTTGCTTAGATGTTACAGGATGGCAACAAGAAACTACCAATGCCGGCCATTTGTTCAACGCCGAAATAATTTTCCTCCGCCTGCGCAGCACGCAGATTCACCTGAGGATTCCCACTATAGGCATTAGTGGCAGAACTGGTCCCGGTGCAGCGTCAGGATTGCAAAAAGCTATTATTTAATCACACACAGACGGAGCAGAATTCATAGGATCATTGAATCTTGTATGTCGTGGATTTGGGTGCGAACAGTAAATATTCACTTACTTCTCGTTTTCGGACGACCTTTACAAAAATGCGATATTCAGCCACAGTTGTCTCACTGTTAACAGAAAGAATGAAACATACGTTTGAAGGAGGAAGCTTTGCGCAAGAAACCCTAACCCCTCCCACTGTACTTGGCGGAGACTTAAAAGACGCTGCTCCTTAAAGAAGCAGCCGCGCTCCTTCACCTCCGGCCACATTTTCTGATTTTGATATAACGACTTACGGGGCTGCTCCTTTGAACTCCAGACAAAGGATTCATCAGCTCAAAACTTTAACGTAAGATAAGACATTAATAGGGTCCTTTGTATTGTGTCATAAAGGTTAAAGGGGCCAATGCAATTTTAAGAGAAGCACTGGAACATATGACCCCGTCCGGCCCTGTACATATACCCCTTCTGAAAGAAGCACATTGTCACCTTCACTGCTGACATGATTTACGCAGGGAGGCAGGAATTAAGCAAAGGATAGGAGACAGGCAGGGGCGCCACCAGAAATCTTGGGCCCCATGAAAGATTAGAATTTTGCCCCCCCCCCCTTTTTTGCGAAAAGGTGAAGCCCCTAAGAGGGCCCCATGTCAGTGCTGGGCCCCTAGAATCGTTCTAACCTCCCCCCCCCCTGGCGGCGCCCCTGGAGACAGGTAACATAAGTTTAGCAGTTAATGATGTGTGCTTATGATTGGATGCAGAGTTTCTAGCTATAGAATAGATCAGGGCTTGATTTTTATTTTATTTTGGAGGAAGATTGGCATTGGGCTAAAATACTTGGGGCTATAGCGAGGAGTGATTGGACCTAATGATGCCCATGGTTGGTTGTCCAAAGCCCAGGATGGGGCTTGATGTCATGATGCCTGTTTATCATAGGTTTGAAGTAAATCTTTCCTGTCCAGTGTGAAATTGGAAATTGCAACTTACCTCACTACCCCTGCATTCCTCTTTTACTTTTACCAGATATTTAATTTTATCACTGTTATTAAGATATCTTAACCACAATAACCTTTGGTTAGCATTTAGATGAATACTACATCTTTCTATCAAATCTTTTTGAAAGAGAAGTTAATCTGTTGAACTCATCCATTTTATTCTACTCCTTTACATTGATGCTTAACAACCTAACTCTTGCCTCCTTTCAAGTCAGTCAAGTAAACTTGATTTGGTTTTAATTGAATGAGCTGGCTAATAAATGATGAGTTATGATTCAAATGAAGGCCCAAGCTGACGGGAACTTCTGAGAAAATCTACAGGACAACCGTAGGTCTTGAATGGGATTTAAATGGATGAATTAAAGGTGAGCTCGTCACCCTGTGCGAGATCCTTGCTGCGGTGATGACGACACAACCATTTAAATTCATTTAATCTGTAAGTGGAATTGACAAGCCTAACTACACGGATTCAATTAAGATGAAATTGATCTATTTCCCGAAACGCTGGCATTCCCAATAACTGTCAGGATTGCTCCTTGGAAGATCACGCACAGCTTATCAGGTGTGGCGGATGGACAGTTTCACGTACATTTATTAGTGCTTTCTGAGTTTTCAAGAAAACAAGCACCAGACAAAATCATTTTAAAAAATCCTCAGAAAACAAAGTCCTGAAACAGGTATACAGTACTGAGTCTTAAGTAGGCGTGGATAAATCACATGCTTTTCACAAGAGTAATTTGACACTTACAAGCCTTGAGCTGAAACTTTGACTGTTGTATATCATCATTATGTCATCCACGCCAGTTGTCACTGTGTTTTGAAAGCAAAATGCAGAAAACATTGATTCTCAAGTGACAGAATAATTGTACTGCATGATGACACAAAATACAGTCTGGATCCACACCATGCTCTGTGTGAGCTTCCCCGGACTCTGTGTTTCCTACTATCATGTTCACATGGGTTTCCTACGGCAGCAGTCTCTGGTCATCCCATCAGGATATACTGAGTTCTCAGTACCTGATGGTGGATGTTGCAACAGGACCCATTCTATGACACCCCAATTTAATAATGATTTTGTAAATATGCTTGATATCCTTGGTTAGATCCAGTTTTCTCCCAGACGGCCCCAGTGTACATGTACAGATATTACAACCACATCCAGGTAGTATGCGGCACCAGAGGGGGGAATCCTTTCCTCACTGTTTACACTCGTACCATGGACTCATTTGCTTGTGATAGTTCCCAGAAACATTACCAATCAAATTGTAATCAAATGAAGGATCAAATTTCACAAAACAAATCCATTTTTTCATTGTATGATTAAAATAAAACCTATAGGAACCTACAGAGGTCTTATGTCCTGCTGGGTGCTTCCCGGATAGGCCCCAGATTTGCTGCAACCCTGCATTGGTTAAGTGGCTATGGAAAGTGGATGGATTTACTGACTGAAGCTTGTGTTGCTCTATTTATGCACATATATAGACTGTATAGAGAAAAGTATTGGGACACACTTCTTAATCATTGAATTCAGGTGTTTCATTTAGACCCCTTGCTGTAGATGTATAAAATCAAGTACTTAGTTTGTAGTCAGGTCTACAAACATTTATGAAAGAATGGGTCATTCTCAAGACCACAGGTGGTTCAAGTGTGGTACTGTCATAGGATGCCGCCTTTGCAATAAGTCAGTTTGTGAAATTTCTTCCCTGCTAGGTATTGCATGGTCAACTGTAAGTGGTATTATTGCAAAGTGGAAGTCTTTAGGAACAACAGAAACTCACCTAGTGGCAAACCACTAAAGTAATAGAGTGGGGTCGTTCGAGTGCTGAGGCGCATAGTGCGTAAAAGTCGCCAATGCTGTGTTGACTCAATAACTGCAGAGTTACAAACTTCCTCTGACATTAATCCCAGCACAAAATCTGTGCGCTGGGAGCTTCATGAAATGAGCTTCCATGGCCGAGCAGCTGCATGCAAGCTTCACATCACCAAACACAATGTCAAGTGTCGGATGAAGTGGTGGAAAGCACGCTACCACTGGACTCTGGAGTGGTGGAAACGTTCTATAGAGTGACGAATTGTGTGTCTCAGTCTGGTAGTTTGATGGATGAGTCTGGGTTTGGAGAATGCCAGGAGAATGTTACCTGCTTGACTGCGTTGTGCCAAATGTAAAGTTTGTTGGAGGAGGGATAATGGTATGGGGTTGGTTTTCAGGGGCTGGGCTAGGCCCCCTAGTTCCAATGAAGGGAACTTTTAATGTTTCAGCATAACAAGACATTTTGGACAATTTTATGCTTCCAACTTTGTGGGAACAGTTTGGGGAAGGCCCTTTTCTGTTCCAGCATGACTGTGCCCCAGTGCACAAAGCAAGGTCCATAAATATATGGATGGGTGAGTTTGGTGTGGAAGAACTTGACTGGCCCACACAGAGCATACACAAGCCATTGCCACCCTAAACTGAAACATGTCCATCCCATTGGCTACCCCCTTCGTATTTGTGGCATTGGTGCAAGCTTTTTGCTTTGCCTGCAAAAAATTGATAGATTAAATGTGTATTTGATAATTGCACCACTGCCTGAATTATAAACGATGTTTATAGCATCTTAAACATCCCCTTATTTTCTAGATGCCTTATATAAAAATATTTATGTGCTACCTCAAAATACCCAGGCCGCCCCACTAAAGATTTCCTGGCTCCGCCACTGGCACAGAGCCCTGTGTTTAACTCCATCAAATACATTTGGGACGAACTACAGTGACAATTGTGAGCCAGGCCTTCACATCCAACATCAGTGCCTGACCTCACAAATGATCTTCTGGAAGAATTGGCAAAAATTCCCACAGACATACTCCAAAATCTTGTGGAAAGCCTTCTCGGAAGAGTAACAGCAGTTATAGCTACAAAGGGGGTACCAGCTTGATATTGATGCCTATGGATTTACAATGGGATGTCATAAAAGTTCCTGTCAGTGTAATGGGCAGGTCCATACTTTTGTCCATATATTGTACACATACATACATACACACACGAACCTGAAACATGCATGCAGTTCCTTGTACTATACAGCAGCTCCACACTGAATTTGATGTGTCTTTACCATTCTTTGCAGTATACGAGATGACTTACGTATGACTTTACCAGGCCGATATCATTGAGCTAGAAGATAAAAATGTCTAAATGTCTGCACAACTTGCAATGTAGAAATTAACGAAAATCTCAACATGTTAATTATGTGTCACAAAAGTTTATACCTGTAGTTTATGCTAAACTTTTAGCTGTGATTGACACTACCTGATATTTATAGGAACACTTGTTTTACATAAGAATATAAATGGGAAATTTACGTCTGCTTGCTGCTGCTAACTGGGTGACATACACAGAATACGTGACATTTCTCTTAATTATTGAAGTGTTAGATCTTCTTTAACAGACAGCATGACATGTACAGTTCACTAAAAGATTAAAAAGTAGTCATGTGTCATTGCTTAACAGGACTTAAATACGTGAAGTATGGGGTGTTATTGCAATCATATTGCCCCACCCCATAAAAAACAAAAGTATGCATTATAAGTCTGCACTTTAATAGTGTCTTCATTCCAGAGATGTATAAAAATAGTCAAGAGATAGCAGAACAGGCTAGAAGGTAGGCTTAGGCAGTATTACTGTAATATGGTATACCACGGTATTTTGTGTATATCATGGCATTTTTAAATGAAATGAAATTTCAAAATACCAGAACAGCATTGCTTTTGAAAATACCATAAAAAAGATTGTATACTGCAGCATAATAGGTTGCAAGTTCATATACCAGAATAAGTATTGCTCTTGCAGCCTTGCCAGAACACGCAGCCTATTTAGATAATGAATTAGTTTACATTAAATTTTGCACAGAATATCACAATTTATTTCCATGTTATGTGTTCATGGTCATTCATGTACACAAGCTAAACGGCAGTGTACAAACACATGTTCATTAACCGGGTTGATGTATGTGGTGTTTGGGGCAAAGAAACCTTTCAGAAGTAGCATTCTGAGACTAAAATACTTAAAGAGCAATCAAGACATACATACAGAAACAATATGATCGCAAGGCCACTTTGGAAGATGAATGAACACAGTTCAATTCACTCTTACATGCAAATGTACATCTCAGAATCAAGATAAATGCTGCAGTTCTGTTTCACCAGTAAATGCAAACCCATACTCCTTGCATCCATCATGGGTAATACTAATTAATAAGCAATCATAGTGCAACTCTGGGAAATCTAAGCAATCCAAAAATCTTTTGAAGGAACCGATTAGATTTAATTGTCAGCCTGAATTTTCGCTCATGTTAGGTTCAACATCATTAAATCAGTCGAAAAACAACATACATACACCTCTATACACAAATAAGACTTACAGTGTTTAACTCTGAGGTCTGATCATTGGTTTTATAAACTGTACACTTGTAACCCAATTCTGTCTGTTAGACCAGGATTTCTGAACCTTTCCAACCACAAGGGCTGGCTGTTCATCATTTATCATGTCAGTGGCCTGGAAGGGGGACCCCAAGTATGTTCTAAGGGCATTTTTCCAGCTAATTCAGTCCTACAGTGCAGATTCTTCTGTTGAATACATGTAGCACATCAGACAGGAAAGAGCAGTAATGAATGGATGAAACCAAAATCATGGTCTGCAAAACCAGAATGACCAAACCTTGTGTCACTTGTTTTCTGGGCTCCCCTCCTTAAACATTTAGGGTGAAATGAAACAACACTTTTAGTAAGTGCGGGCTGTCACGCAGATAGTTCCTTGTGGTTTGGAATGTGACATACATTGGTGATGTAAAGGTAAATCCCCCCCCCACCCACCCCTCAGTTTTGAGCCCAGGACATTTGGGGATAGAAGGGTGACATGGCGGTGAACTGGACATATAAATGCAGGTAACAGGAGGTTAAAAACAGCAGAAATGCACTGAAAAATGCACTGAAAAAGTGAATGTATTGCAAAACAAGTGAATAAAACACTCATCAGCAGAGGTGAGTTGCATGGAATAGCAGATTTAACGTATTCAAATAAAAAGCCACGATGATCCTTCAGAAGACCCCTGCAATTATCTATGCACCTCAATGGCAAACAAAGTCTAAAGGACACATTCAAGCTTCCAATAAACTGAATTACTAGTTCTGACTGGTAATTTGTATGTGAATATTATGGGCATGGAAAAATCTCTTTAGTTTACCCACACTGCATTGATAAGCTTGGTTTTGGTATACTGAGTAGAGCAGAAGTACAGTACAAACACAGCATTGTCATTATAAACACCACTTCACAGCAAATGAGTTCTTGCATTACAATGTAAACACTAGAAAATTGGTTGGATTTTAAAAAGAAAACAAAAATCAGCACTAATATAGTGCATAATGGCACATCTTTTCTGTTTATTAAAATGTCTCTAGCAGGTTTCTGGATTTTTCAACTTACTTCTGATGTAAAAAAATACCTTAGGCGTTTGGAAATGTATTCTGCCAGTCAACAGAAATCTCAGGGAAAAGTGCCGTTAAACTCCCCAAACATCAAAAAACGTCTTCGCTGACCAAGCAGCCCATCAATGCCTCTTTGAATACAAAGCCCAGTTGCTGGGAGTTTAAGGGTGATTTGTTTCCATAGCTGAAGACGACCATAGCTGAAGTTTCCAGCGGACTGCAAGAGACCTTCTGAGAAGATAAACGTGGTTTAACAGGGTGTGTCCATTTCCCAGGGTCTATTCCATGTGAGTCTGGATAGCACGTGCTGCTGGGTCACATGTCTACATCACCGTCATATGCCAAGGTTAGGGGCTTCTGTGGTGGCGTTACGCTTTTATGCTGTTTGGGTCCTTTGCTATCAAAATACAGACATATATGGCAGGTGTTACTTCTAAAAACACCTCACTGATCATTTATTTGTTCATTTATTCAGTTCTTATTAGCACAAAATTTATTCAAAAACAGATTAACATTGAACACATTAGACCCCAAGAGGGAAACTGAAATATATAAAGGAAATTTTTAAAATCACATGATCAGGCAGGCCTACAGTCAGTTTAAATTGCAGCAGCTTCACTGTGCAGATTCTGCCATTTAGAGACAGGAACTGATATACGTACCAGATCAGGAATGACAGCGCAATAATGAATAAAACCAGGATAAATCCACCAGCGGTCACCCCGTAGACCCAGAGCTTTATTCTGCCATCTGCAAAATCAGAAAGCAGAGTGGAGCTATTTGTTTAACACTCCATCGACTGCAAGCTAGAGCTTTTTAATATACAGTGCCAGAGCTCTTCTTCTAGGCCCTTGGGAGCACAAGTTTTTCTAAAAAAGAAATAAAAAAAACCTTTTCATTTACAAACAAAAAAAGAAAAAAAAAACACAGCACTAGATCATACATTATAAAATACAGTTGAGGCAAAGATAAAAAACACAAAGAAATAAGGAATAGAGGAGAGCAAAGGGTGGATACAAAATAGGCTTTGGAGAATATTTCTCCATTTGTTTGATCCTTGCCTTAGATTTATTATCTAGATCATATTACTAAGTATGTGCACAGAATGACTGATTTTGGGTGCTACTCTTCAAAGGGAACCAAGGATAGTGGAAGATTTAAATTGGAATAGGTTCAATACTTATCAACAACAACAAGATGTTTCATTACTAGACATTACTGGGTGCTTATTGTGATTCTTCCTTACACGTTTTATGGGTCTTCAATAATGGTTTAGCCAATATTGCACAGAGGTAGGTCAAATCAATTCACTGAATACTGAAGAGGGTGACTGTGAATTTTGTCAGCTGTGACCATAATATTCTCTGCCTACTAAGTGGGAGGAATTCTATTTCTCATTTGAATTTTGTTTGAACATGAAAATAAATGCAATATTGTATTTCTAATTATTATTTTTGTCCAAGAACTCTGAGTTGCGTATCCCTGAACAGGACTGGGCCTGATTCTTGGGACTGTTTTAATTACCTGGTCCTATGGGCTGGAAGGTCCACTCGCTGAGGAAGCCGTGTTTCGGAGAGGTCCCAGCTTTAACTCGCCCAGAGCTGGTTTTGACATCAGCCTTCTTGTTTTCCGCACCTGGAGTCTTCGTGCAGTAATCCAGGAAGCCGTGTGTAGTCATCACCTCAGTGTATCCCCTCTCGCACCCACAGACACCACTCTAACAACAGCACCGCAATTACAGACACTCCCAACACAAATATTTTTGTAAAGCAATTTGTCATTTTCCACTTTACTTTATATTTCAGTAAAAACTGTAATAATGCAGAATCATAATAATAATAGTGAACTACATAAATATGTACTTTTAAGTGCTGATTTAATTTAAAAATAAGCCAAATAAAAAAGTCCTAAATCAGTTAGGATATAAAATCAAATCAAATCTCAAACTGGTTGTACAACTGTGAATCTTACAGGCAAGTTTGCAATCACTCACTCAAGCTATTGTGTTGTATTTTTAAACCAGCGGAAGAACACATCTATCTTGGTACCTGTTCTTTTCCATCTGCAATAACAATGCCTTGGCCTCAATTCTTACAGGCACATTATGTCAAGTAATTAATTTGCCTTCTAAAAATTCTATAACCGTAAGGCACTTTTTTTTATACCTACAATGAGCCTTTTGCAATCATTGTATATCAGCTATTCCTAAGGCACATTTTTCCACGCAGCCCTTTAAAAATCTACTCAAACTGGGCAGACTTATCCTTTCTATCCAGGTTTATACACAATATTTACTGCCATTTAGCATCAGGCAACTAACTGAATATGTCACAATACACTCAACATACATGCTGAATATAAGCACGCTGACAGAATTTTATTACCTGTGTGCAATGGGAGAAGGGTTTGGTGCAGGGGGGGTGACATTGCCTAATGCTTGTGGGTTGGTTTTGCAGAAAGCAGCCCCCTAGAACAGAGAACAAGGAGATACTTATTACCATTTTCCAGGGAGAAATAAATAAATGTAGAGTCACGGATCAGGTGCTATGTACCTGCATTTCTGTTCAAATGCTGAATAATGTCACTCCAGTGTAACCATCAAAGGAAATAACGCAAGAGCTCACAGTTGCAGTCCTAATAGCAGCCAGGTAGCACTTCTTATAGAGACAAGATCACTTTTCCAAATTATTTGTGGGAAATGTAGCTTCCTATAATCTGCTTTTATTAGCTCATTTATGCTGTTGCAATTATACGTGTTGTTTTGTTCCAACAGGGGTTTCATCACATTTGCATGAATTGGGCGTCTCCTTTGCATTCAAAGGTAGCTAACGTTCCGTGTGTCTCAGTAGAACAAATTATCAACGAAAATGGAGAAGTAACCATCCGTAAACTTAATTTGAATTTGTCGTGTTCAGTGATAGTGTTAATTTGCAGCATCTTAAAAAAAGACTGTTGGGTGTTATGTTGGGTGTTATGAAGTGATCTTAGAAACATTTTCTGCATGGAAAATACATGTTTACACCAAAATGCACACACACACACACACACACACACACACACACACACACACACACAGAGAGAAACATACCGGATACGTTGACCCCATCCGAACGTTGACACCAAACAAAACGTTCATTGTCTTTCCATCCACTGGTCTTCCATTCATAGCTGTGGCATTTTCCTTCTATAAATGAGAAGAGTGAACATTTTGTGTTTAGTGTCACTTTTCAACACATACCTGACAGAATCCTAATAAACAAACTGCTACACAGTATAAGCTCAGAACCACCAAAGAAAGACCACCAATGGCATAAAATTTTTTCAAACGTGAGCAATTGTTGGTCAAATGAATATAATTTGAAAATGAAAAATATATTTTAAAAGACAATGTAACACATGAATATCTAACAGTATCATATGTTCTATTACAGTGCAAATATACTGCATCCATTTTATTTAGAGCACACTTTATATCTTACAAACGGGTTGAATGCTCTTCACCAGTCTGGGGAAGCTTACAGACCTTTACAGGGCTGTGTTTCAAAGATCTGTTGTGGGCAGCTGTCCTGATTCTCTAGGACCTGAATGACCACTGCCCTGGATCGTGATCGCTGTCCAGTGCTCTCGAAGCTCCTTCCCTCCGCACAGGTCAGCTGACATAAGCTCCATGACGACCACTCTGTCAGATGGCAATCTCCTGTAGAAGAACAGCTGATGTGATAGTTTCTTATAACCATTAACAACAATTGAAAATTCATTGATTCACCTGGAATGTATGGCAGTAGATAAATGTTAACTCAGAAAACACTTACAGATTCTGAAAACACAGACAAAACAAAAAATGCTGGAAATCCGCTCACAACACAACAGAAGTGAGCTTCAATACAACAGGGAAAAATGAAATAAGACCAACCATTAGGGTTGGGTGGTATATAGAATATTTACAATATATATCGATATATTTTTAAAACAAAATACAGAATGACACAATGCCATTTATGGCGATATATTTTTATCATGTGTTACAATTAGGGCTCTATTAAAGATTTCAAATAGAGACCAAGAGCATTCCTTTCTGGTTGTAAGCAATGCATGTGCTTCAGTTGTGATGTTGCACAAAATCCCAGGATTCAAAACTAAAATCAAACCATTCAGTTAGTGTCTCAGGGGGAATTTGATGGAAGGGAAAAAGATGATGAATCATTGTTACATCTCACATCTAATTTTGATTTAAAACTTCAGAGAAAACATTATGTAACGCTAATTTGCCAGAAATTACCAAGTGTTCTGTGTGTCCTAGACCAACGGAACATACAGAGGAACTGGGGGACATGCATTTTCCCAAGTAACAAAGTAAGTGAGATCTAAACTACATGGATAAAAGTATTGGGACACCTGGTCATTACGCTACAAAGAATGGTAAAGACACATCAATTTCAGTGTGGACCTTCTGCATAGTACAAAGAACTGCATGCATGTTTCAGGTTTATGGACAAAAGTATGGACCTGACCATTACACTGACAGGAACTTTTATGACATCCCATTGTAAATCCAGAGGCATCAATATGGCGCTGGTCCCCCCTTTGCAGCTATAACAACTGCCACTCTTCTGGGAAGGCTTTCCACAAGTTTATGGAGTGTGTGTGAATTTTTTTTCCCATTCATCCAGAAAAGCATTTGTGAGGTCAGACAATGATGTTGGACATGAAGACCTGGTTTGCAATCTCCGTTCTAGTTCATCCCAAAGGCATTTTATGGGTTGAGGTCAGGGCTCTGTGTGGGCCAGTCAAGTTCTTCGACACCAAACTCACCCATCCATATCTTTATGGACCTTGCTTCGTGCACTGGGTTACAGTCATCATGGAACAGAAAAGGGCCTTCCCCAAACTGTTCCCATAAAGTTGGAAGCATAGAATTGTCCAAAATGTCTTGTTATGCTGAAACATTAAAAGTTCCCTTCATTGGAACTAGGGGGCCTAGCCCAGCCCCTGAAAACCAACCCCATACCATTATCCCACCTCCACCACACTTTACAGTTGACACAGTGCAGTCAGGCAGGAAAGAACATAAGAACATAGGAAATTTACAAATGTTTGGAGGCCATTCGTCCATCAAGCTCATTTGGGGAGAACTCAAGTAATAGCTCAGAGTTGTTAAAATCTTATGTAGCTCACTAGGTAACGTTCTCTGAGCATCCACCAAACCCAAACTAGTCCATCAGACTGCCAGACAGAGAATCATGATTCATCACTCCACAGAATACATTTCCACTGCTTCAGAGTCCACTCCATCTGACACTTGGTGATGTGAGTCTTACAAGCAGCTGCTCGGCCATGGTAACCCATTTCATGAATTTCCCGGCGCACAGATTTTGTTTTGGGGTTAATTCTAGAGGAAGTTCAAACTCTGCAGCTGAAACAGAGCATTGGCAACTTTTATGCACTATGCACCTCAGTACTTGGTGACTCTGTTCTGTTACCTTACGTGGTTTGGCACTTCCTTGCTGAGTTTCTGTTCTTACTAAATGTTTCCACCTTGCAATATGCACTTACAAATGATCGTGGAATATCTAGCAGGGAAGAAATTTTACGAACTGACACTGCAAAGGAGGCATATGATTAAGAGGTGTGTCCCAATACCTTTGTCTATGATATTTTTTTGTTTTGACTATAACTATGTTTAAATGAGTTAATCAGAATAAGATGCTTTCATGTGTTTCTAATGACCCAATTACAGAGCTAGTCATGTAAGCGCAGTAATTGGGTTATTAAAAACATATAAACAGCTTATGGTATTTTTAACATGTGAGTTATTTGACAATAATTTAAAACAAAATTAACTAAGTGACAATGATTCATTGCCTTTCCCCTCATCAAATTTCCCATGAGACTGATTGGTTTGATTTTAGCTGTGAACTAGGATTCTATGTAACGTCATAACTGCAGGTCTCACGTTGCTTACAACCAGGAAGGAATACTTTTGGTCTCCATTCAAAATCTTTAATAAAGCCTTAATTATAATCCAGGATAAAAGTATATCGATATAAATGGTATTATGTCATCCTATGTCTTGTTTTGAAAACGTATTTATCATTGTCTCCCAGAAACTTCCTTTGTGCTGTGGCACAATTCTGTTGGATTTGTAGCTTTATTTTTTCAGAGTTTATGTTCTCTGAATTTGCAGCACATTGACACTTACTGACCACTGCAGTAATGTCACATACACCATTTATTATTTTACATTTCTGAATCATATAGTCCATATACACTCACCTAAAAGATTATTAGGAACACCATACTAATACGGTGTTTGACCCCCTTTCGCCTTCAGAACTGCCTTAATTCTACGTGGCATTGATTCAACAAGGTGCTGAAAGCATTCTTTAGAAATGTTGGCCCATATTGATAGGATAGCATCTTGCAGTTGATGGAGATTTGTGGGATGCACATCCAGGGCACGAAGCTCCCGTTCTACCACATCCCAAAGATGCTCTATTGGGTTGAGATCTGGTGACTGTGGGGGCCATTTTAGTACAGTGAACTCATTGTCATGTTCAAGAAACCAATTAAAAATGATTCGAGCTTTGTGACAAGGTGCATTATCCTGCTGGAAGTAGCCATCAGAGGATGGGTACATGGTGGTCATAAAGGGATGGACATGGTCAGAAACAATGCTCAGGTAGGCCGTGGCATTTAAACGATGCCCAATTGGCACTAAGGGGCCTAAAGTGTGCCAAGAAAACATCCCCCGCACCATTACACCACCACCACCAGCCTGCACAGTGGTAACAAGGCATGATGGATCCATGATCTTATTCTGTTTACGCCAAATTCTGACTCTACCATTTGATTGTCTCAACAGAAATCGAGACTCATCAGACCAGGCAACATTTTTCCAGTCTTCAACTGTCCAATTTTGGTGAGCTCGTGCAAATTGTAGCCTCTTTTTCCTATTTGTAGTGGAGATGAGTGGTACCCAGTGGGGTCTTCTGCTGTTGTAGCCCATCCGCCTCAAGGTTGTGCGTGTTGTGGCTGCACAAATGCTTTGCTGCATACCTCGGTTGTAACGAGTGGTTATTTCAGTCAAAGTTGCTCTTCTATCAGCTTGAATCAGTCGGCCCATTCTCCTCTGACCTCTAGCATCAACAAGGCATTTTCGCCCACAGGACTGCCGCATACTGGACGTTTTTCCCTTTGCACACCATTCTTTGTAAACCCTAGAAATGGTTGTGCGTGAAAATCCCAGTAACTGAGCAGATTGTGAAATACTCAGACCGGCCCGTCTTGCACCAACAACCATGCCACGCTCAAAATTGCTTAAATCACCTTTCTTTCCCATTCTGACATTCAGTTTGGAGTTCAGGAGATTGTCTTGACCAGGACCACACCCCTAAATGCATTGAAGCAACTGCCATGTGATTGGTTGATTAGATAATTGCATTAATGAGAAATTGAACAGGTGTTCCTAATAATCCTTTAGGTGAGTGTATAGTTGCAGTACTTCATTCTTTTTCTTCAGGCACTTTGTCAAAGTAAGTCCCATTTTAGCTATTAATTGCACACTAAAGTAGCCAGATATTGTTTGTGACACGGGCTGTATCATATGATGTGTATAACATCAGCTGTTACAGTGGCTCTTATGGTATTTAGGAATGTGGTTGCTTTAAATTACTGCACATGCTAAGTAATTCCATATAATGATTTAACTCCAAGATTCACTCTAGTGTGTAATTACCTTTCACTGCCCCGATATAAATTAATACACATACAGCTTTATTGGACTCTTGTCTTAAAAAATTGACTTTGTGTTTGCTGCCATGAAAACAACCAAACAGCACTCTACCGGGGCACGGTACTGAGCAGGTCAGCTGGAGTCCCTGTCCGCTGGCTGGCCTCTCCTTGTCCTTGCAATTTTCCTCTTCTACAGGTCTGTATGACGAGAGGTCCAGAGGGTCTCCCCAGTGGACCACACACGTCAGGTTTCTCTCTCGAACTCCCTCTCCACACTCTGCACCCTGCATAGGAGAACCAGTAAATGGCTCAGGGTCACAACAACCTTTAAGTGATATGATTTGGCACTGGAACATTTCTCATTCTGTTTTATTATTAGTATTATTTTTTATTTCTTGGCAGAAACACTGAATGTTTTTAATTCTGTGTGGTGCTCTTTGCAGTATGAATGATTTCTCTTGCAAGTGCTAATAGAAAAAAACCCCATAAAAAGAATAACAATTTATATATAGTGTAAAATGTGTATGATGATTTCTCATGGGAAACCCGAGATGAATGGGAGTCTACACAGCAACTCTCAGCTTTGTGCTGTGTTTTTTTTTTTTTAATCTAGGGGAAGCACAACAGAGAAAACAGGTATCTCATTATAATTTTTTCTTTCTTCTGGGTTTACCAAGCTGACTTTGGTTGAGTTTGTGTACACCCACTACTGGGGAACAGCGAATGATACAACACTGAATAAACAACTGAGAGCAGACAAAAGCCATCTAAATACAATAATTTATAGTGACACTTTATTGATCCCCATGGGGAAATTCCCTTTATTGCTTTGCCCAATTTTCTGTCCATGATGCTTGGGGGTCACAGCAAAGGGGCAGCTGCCTTGTGGTGCCCAGAGAGCTGGGGGGGGGGGGGTATGGGCCTTGCTCAAGGAGTCCACTGACATGTGACTATTCTGCTTTTGGATCACAGGCATAGAGGCCTAGCCTGCTGAGCCACATGTGTCAGATAAGCAAACCTTTTCACTAACGCATGATCTAAACCCTGAATATGCTAGATTAAATGCAGCGAAACTTGAAACCTTGTACAATTTTAACTCATTTCACACTGATGAGTTTGGGTCAATGTAGATTGTCCTGTTTGAAATTTAAGTTAAATTTACATGTTTTTTTTCTTATCCCACCAAACATGAAGCTTGTGCTCATTCAAGGCTTAAGCAATTCTCTCTACTACAGTCAACCAGTCAAGGAATGTCTGCTTTGCAGGTCAAAAAATCACACCAGCTTTCGTTAAACTGTGTACATTTCAAGGTGCGACACACCCCTTCTGCCATATACAGGGTGCCTCACATAAAAGTAGCCTGGCATCTTACAAAATAGAACTGATGTGTGAGGCTACTTTTATGTGTGGCACCCTGTATAAACCACGTTGTTATTCTTAATTCACTTTTTTATGGAAAGGCTATTTCACCTACAGTTCCAACAAAATAAATGACAGTCAACAAAAATGTAGAGCGATGACCTGAAACCAAAAAGGAAGTCTAATGATATATTAGGATCGGCACAGATGCCATTGTTCCCAGACATCTGACACCCTGAAAGTCTGTGATGTAAAAATCCAGATGCTGGATTTAAAAATATAATAGAAGTTAACGTATTCTGACAAGTGGCAGTGGTTCTTTTTTAAATGCAAAGTGGTTTTTGGGCTATCCAAGGAGAGTTTCATTACATTACACAGAAAATGGCAGCAGACTTAAACTGAAACAATTAACAACAAGATTAGGACCAACCAGCGGTCACAGTTTTCAACATGCTTGTAACAGTATGTACACTTCCGTGGCTGAAAATGATCAAGTGTTTACAGATCTAGCTGTTTCGCATCCAGATCATCCAAAGGAGATTACTACACGCAAAGTTAAATCTACAAAGATCAAAACAATATTTTCAAATCTTCACAGGTCATACCTCCACATGGCATGGAGACCACTTGCCCAGAACCCATTTGTAGCAAGGCCTTATGGGACATGGTTTGGTCTGGGACAGCTGGGATGGGCAGGGGCGTCCTTCTTCATGGGCCTGTTGCAACATGGTCCTGGATCTCACCATTTGACCTGCCAAGAGGAAGGCCAGGATACAAGGGAGAAAGCAGGATCAGAGCGACAATGATGGAGAAGAATATAATATGGATGGTTACACGTTCTGTAGAGACCGGATAGGCAAGAAGGGAGGGGGTGTTGCAGTATATGTAAAGGAAAACTTGCAGGCAAGGGAGCTCACTGATAAACATAAAAGTACAGTATGAATATACCTAGATGCTAAAAACTCAAATGGCCTAATTGTCGTTTGTTATAGAGCAACTATAACAGGGGGGTATTGAACCCGATTTGATCCCCCACAATATAATAAACCTAATCCACACACACACACACCACACCACACACACCATACACACATCACACACAGGCCACTTTATTAAGTACACCTTACGAGTATCAGGTTTGATCCCCCCCTTTGCCTTCAAAACTGCCTTAATTCTTTGTGGCATAGATTCAACAAGGTCCTTGAAACATTCCTCAGACTCTGGTCCATGTTGACATGACTGCACCAAGCCATTGCTGCAGATTTATTGGCTGCATCTTCGTGACGTGAATCCCTGGTTCCTCCACATGCCATAGGTGCTCTATTAGATTGAGATGTGGTGACCTTGGGGGCCATTTGAGTACAGTAAACTCATTATAATGTCAAAGAAAGCAGTCTGATGATATGAAGTTTTCTATTAGAAGCTGGGTACTCTGTGGTCATAGAGGGATGGACATGGTCAGGCTGTGGTATTTAAATGATGCTGAACCGGTACTAAGGGGCCCAAAGTGTACAAGACAATATCTCCCTTACCACCGCACCACACCACCAGTCTTTCTTTCCCTACAATCTGAGTGTCACAGCAGAAATCGAGACTCATCTGGCCAGGCAGCATTTATCTGGTCTTCCATTGTCCAGTTTTGGTAGGCCTGTGCCCACTGTAGCTTGCTGCTATAGCCCATTTGCTTCAAGTTCAACATACATAGATGCTCTTCTGCATACACTGGGTGTAATAAGTAGTTATTTGAGTTACTGTTGCCTTTCTATCAGCTTTAACCAATCTAACCATTATTCTCTGACCTCTGCCATCAACAAGGCATTTCTGCCCAGAGAACCACCACTCACTGGATGATTTTTCTTTTTTGGCTTATTCTCTGTATACCCTAGAGATGTTTGTGCATGAAAACCCCAGTAGATCAGCAGTTTCTAAAATACTCATACCAGCCTATCTGGCACCAACAACCATGCCATGTTCAAAGTCACTTAAATCACCTTTCCTCCCCATTCTGGTGTTTGATGTGAACATTACCAGAAGTTCCTTACCTATATCTGCAAGATTTTGTACATTGTGCTGCTGACATATGATTGACCGATTTTATATTTGATTCAATGAGAAGAAGTGTCCTGTAAACTTATTTGCGTGTGCAAAGGACAAATATGATCATAGAACTGAGCGGAAAATTCAGTATTCTAGTCTTCAATTAATCAATATCTTAATTACTGAAGCTTAGAGGCCCTGGAGGAACAGCCCAGGGCTGTCAAGGAACGTGGAGGAAACGTGGACCTTTGTTAGAGTCATAAACACACAACTGTCAATTTGGAGCCTCATACACAGAGGGGAAGACAAACTCGTAGTGTTGCTCTCTTGACTCAACTTTAAAACCTTTCAAATATTGGAATAGCAACTTTTTTTATGAATTTTAATTTTGTTTATGTTCAGCTCTGATTTCTAATTAACAGCACGACAGTGACTCCAGGGGAAACTTCCGGCATATTGATAGGAGTCTCTGAGGGGAGAACACAAGCCGGCACTAAATGAAGACTAATGAAGACTGTCCAGTGTTTCTCATTAACCAGCTGACAGTCTGATTTGCTTGGAAGACTGGAGGGACTTCAGAGACAACAAAATACACCAAGGTTAAATACTAGGCTCTCTTTGGGTATCATGAAATAATGATGTGGCTTAACCCAACAAATGCACTGAGGCTAAATTCCAAGCTCTTCTTAGGTACCATGAAATAATTATATGGCTTAACTTGAATCCTGTCAAGCATCATAGGAAAAACATTATTAGCGTACATCCTGATATCATCGCTGAGTTTCATTTAGAAGATTGCCACAGCAATTCACCAGGCAGCCTTGTAGCCTCATAGGTTCCTCCTGCATTATAGCATGATCAAAGGTCACATGAACAGACTTAAATCTCCTTATAGTGTTCAGAATGACTGTAAATTGACTGTTGTGCTTGTTTGTGTTTCAGGCTGTTCCTTAACTTCCTGGGATGGTCTCCACTTTAAAGTAGTGCTAACATGGTAATCAATTATTTACAACTGATGGACAGATTGCACTTGCGATTAAAACAACATTTCTATATATTTTCTCCAAGATGTGACATCGCTTGGACAAACACACCTTTGAATAATGACCACATGTATGAAAAACACTTGGCTGCCCCAGATACCGATCACCTCCCAGCATTTCTGATATTCTGTGTGCATATTCAGTCAGCACTGCTGCATGAGGAGACATCAACGACCACGCATGGCGGGAACCTCATTTATAAAGGTTGCAGAAATTATTAAGGAGTGCGTTATCAGCCTGGGGAGGAAACTGAAGACATCATTACTGGAAAATAACATGTCACACCCCAGATGTCACACCCCAGCGCCACATACAATAGCCTGGGTTGTAGAGAAAACAACCTTTGTAGCGTAGGTGTACACCAAGACTGGTTTCATTACATATAAACACCTTAACGGTATTTTTGCTAAGCAGAAAGATGTATGCATTGTTAGTTCTCATGTTTCAGGTGAATTTGAGAGCAATAAAATTTTGTCAATACATTTTCCTTTGCTTTACTTTGTTTTGTAGTCCCAGGTTAATTCTCTTAGTTTTTCAGTTAGTCTCTTTTGCATGGTTAACGCAGATGTTGCTCAATAAATGCTAGAGCAGGTACAGCTATCAGTGAATGTTGTGACATTTCTATGCTTATGCAAACCTTCTCTCCAATAAACTGTTCACTAAAATAACTTATAATCCTTTGCAACATATGTTTGGAGGTCCAATGGTGGAAAGAACATAAGTAATGAATTTCTGAAGAGTGGAGGTGTGGGTTACAATCTGATGAATCATCCCGCAAAAACATGCCATGGAACTCTTCACCTTGAAGCTGACAAGCTCTGAAACCCGACATTTTCTGAAGTTTCACAAGGATGTATTCATCCACAAACATTGCTCTTATCTTGCAATTTATTAACTCCCTGGTACTAGAGACATTTCTCAGAACTATTCCAAAACCCTCATGACTGTCATCAGGGTGCAGATCATTGGGCAGAATCCACAACCAGGACCCCCACAGAACACCCAGACCATGAAGAGGGTAAAACCATCCTCTACCAACCAATGACGGCAATGACATGTTTGAGTTGCATAGCCAATCTTCATAGCAATGTCAATATTCAGCCACTCCAAAAACTATCAAGAAAACCAAACAAGGAGGTCACCAAAACATTGACCAAGCAAGCATGATGTAGGTTTTCTGAAAATCTGCTATGTAATATTTCAACCATGTGATACCCACCCTTTGTGACACTAGGCTCATGACAATTTTTTGTCCACCACTTGTGTTACTTGAGCAAATATCCATCCATCCATCCATCCCTCCCCGAAATGCTTATCCCTTTCTCAGGGACAGAAATGGGCTTAAAGCCTAATTTATAGGTACAACGTTAATATATTATAATATGATGATTTTAGTAATCTATGTACAGTATGAATACCTTGACTGCCACAAGTATGTGAGCACTGAGTCCATGATGACCATTCTGAGAGCAGACAGTTAACTGGACAGTCCACCATACAGGGAACCTCGAGCTTCCAGGTTTTAACTAAACCTAGCTGTAAAGGAAAAAGAAAAGTATATTACTCATTATGTTTAGTTATATATCACCTGTTTATCAGTTATAAGGTTAATAACATTTTTGTTAGGGGTGTGTAATGAGCATGACAGTAAAATATTTAAATACTTTTCACCTCATTTATTGAAAATAACACAACTAATTGGAACATTAAAACCCTTTCCGTCTCCTCTCGTGTCACACTTCTACTCTACATAAAGGCGAAAACAAGTGAGAGCAAACCTCCTCGCACATGCTGAGCTCCACGACCTCCCCATCACTGCGCACGCAGTCTAGAAGCCTTGTCCTCTTGCCTTGTCCACATATGGCGTTCTCACTCAATAGGCACGTACTCCAGTCTACCACACACACGCAAAGGCGAAGTGTTTACGTTTGTGTTCAGTGTCTTTTAGGGGAATAACATCATATCTAAACTGTTTAATACAGAGAGCAGATTTATAAATATGGGTTTATTTTAGCTGCTTAGTGTGGGCAGATGGAATGCAGGATGATGGTACAGGGCTCAGTTTAACTCATCAGTTGGTTCTTTGTGGAAATGGATCACCAGCCCACCTCTTCAGGGAATGAACCCCAGCTGATTCTGATTAGGCTGCTTCCCTTGTTTGGGTTTGTGAGGAGTAGCTTAGCCTACTAAGTAACATCATTTGATGTGTGCTCGTGTTAACTCAGGTTTAGTATATAGTGGGTTCTGTTTTTTTTTGTCAGGAAGATTATCCTTAGAGCTTTCCATCACTTTGTGTCTGCCTTTTTTAAGTGAACTTTAGCATTGTAGTTTTTGAGTAATAAAATCCATTTGTAGCATTTGAACCCAGTTTTGACTCAGTCCTCTACCCCATAATCTTCCATGATAGCATGATCACACTCAGTGACATACACAAAGTATAGTTTTTTTTTGTTTTTACAACACAGCTCCTTTTTTATACTGAGGCAATTCAGGTTAAGTTCCCACCCCAAGGGCCCCACAGTGATAACGCTTCACTGGCCCAGAGATGGCAGTGCATTAACCAGCTGAATGTACCTGAGAGATTGTAGTGGTGAGTAAAACAGTTGCTGTTGAGGATGCAGCTCTCCATCTGCTTGTCTTCTGGGCAGCTTTTCCTGGTCAGTGACAATCTCAGCTGTTGCCTTAAACGCCTCCGTACTGTGCTCTGGTCACATGGCTACAGAAGGTGTGACAGGTAGTATGATGCTAAAGCACTGCAGTAAAAACAAGGCACTGACAACGAGATGGGACATACGGGAAGACATTAAACATCAAATGATGTTATTAATAAGCAAAGCCCGGATTTTTAGCTAGAAGAAATACTGTTTTCAGAATCACCCTACCCCACAGGTTATATTACTATGTTGCAAGGTCAAATTAAAATGTATGTAAATTATATCATTTTGTACTCATAAGCAACTCTCCATAATTCCCAGATGGTTGAAGTGTTGAAAAAGTTGAAAAACAGACCAAATCAGGAACCAGGACATGAAGCCCAAATAAAACTACCAGTGTCAATGTTCAACCAATGTTCCAAAGCAAGAAAATAAAGGGTTTATGAAGGCTATAAGATAGCTTTGAACTTTCCTGGAAAAGCAGATAAATCCTATGAAATTAAAACAAAAAAAGCCTAAGTAACACTATTTGGATTGTTTAGCCAACTGTACAGGAAAGAGCTTGTTTTTATTTGCTCAACAGTGTATATACACTGATGCGGCAAAATGTTATGTGAAGAAAACAATGTTGATCTCATGAAAAACGGTGCATGACAAGGACTGGAATATATTAGACAGTAAGCTAACATTCACTATTTATAGTCAAAATTTTGTGCAGGGTTAATGACCTGAGAGCCAAATCATTATGGTCAGATGACTATGTCAGAGCATCTCTGAAATGGAAAGGCTTATGGGGGTGTTCAATGTCTGCTGTTGTAAGTACCTAGTGAGAGTGGTCCGAGGAGGGAAAAACTATGATCCTTCAACAGGGTGTTGACCAGCCAAGACTGCAAGAAGCAAGATGTGAATGTGAGTTATCCTGTTTGATATCTACCAACAGAAGGGCTACTGTGGCACAAATGGCAGATAATTTTGATGATCATGAGAGTAATGTGTCACAGCACACGTGCATGGAGCCCTACTGCATTTTGGGCTACAGCTGTGGATCGGACTTGTCTGGCCAATGCATCCCTCAGATGCTCGACAGAAAATTCATCTGGATTCATCAGATCAGGCCACCTTCTTCCATTGCTCCAAGGTCCAGTTGCATGCCCATTGCAGGCACTTTTGACGGTGACAGGGGCCAGAATGAGCACTCTGACTGGTCTGCGGCTACCTAGTCCCATACACAACATGACTTGATGCCCTGTGTACTGTGATTATCATCAAAATTATTTGCCATTTGTGCTGCAGTAGCCCTGTAGTTCACTCAGATGTGAAAGCCTTCTTTCATATCATGCATTGATAAATTTTGGCTGCACAACACCCTGTCAGCGGATTGTAGTTTTTCCTTTCAGTAGATACTCACCACAGCTGAACATGAGCATCCTACAAGCCTTGCCGTTTCTGAGACGTTCTGACCCAGTTATCTGGCCATAATGATCTGGCCCTTGTCATCGTCACTCAGGCCTTTACCTCTGCCCATTTCCTCTGCATTCAACATGACAACTATAAGTACCAAATGTTGGCTTACCGTCCAATATATCTCAGACCTTGACACACTCCATTTTTATTACACAATCTACACACACATACATGCAAACACTGCTGTGCAACTTTCTATTCTGAATTTCTGATGGATACCCATTTATCTCAATGGTACCATAAACATAGTTAATGTATAACTCAGACCTTGGCTAAAAGCATTATACAGTCCAATAATGTGGTTAGGCATATTTGTATCTCTAAATTGCCCTGAATGTGAGAGTATGTGCCCTGCAATGGACTGGCATCCTGTCCAGGGTATGCTCTGACTTGTGTCCTGTGTTTCTGGGGTAGGCTCCAGGCTAACACAGACGGCAGGAGCTGGATGGTCGAGTATTATTCCATAAATAACATGCCACACTTACTGCTGGACATGAGCTCCACTGCCCCCACTGTGACATAACGCACTCATCAGCGCACGGCAGGAAACATGTCTGGCCCATGAATGGCATGTCGTCAGGGTTACAGAGGCTGTCGTCCACGATAACGCTGGGACCTTCACCGCCCCTCTTCATGCATCTGCCAAGAGGCCAGAGGGAGGAGATACTCAGCTCAAATCTCTGGCACCGATGGCGGTAGGGAGGAGAGGTGGGCCCACCTGACTTTGCGGCTCTGTACGCCCTCACCGCAGCCCGGCAGCTCGTCTACGGCATTGATGGTGCACGCGGACCAGGGCTCGGGCACCCACACGTATTCACCACACTCGTTGTGACATGGCACTGCCTCATACACCTGGGGACACACAAGGGGGAAGTCATGGTGACTGTCAAGGGGCAACACAAAGACCAGGCATCGGCACACCCAAATAAGGGAACACATATCTTCAGGTGACACATTTGTTTAGGTTTTTTTAAATTTAATTTCTCTTGGGGTGTTACTGATTAAACATGTTATGAACCTTACACTGTAGTATTTAAGTAACTGCTAAGATATCTTCAGATTTTAGTCTGCTTGCCAAAAATGAAAGGAATTTGTGTCCGTGCAAATAGTTAACTGAATGGTTATGTTTCGATAGGCTACACAAATGTGTCACAGGGAAATTAAAATAAAAAAAAAATTAAAGAAAAATCAAAGTTAGCACCTTTAAAATTTTACCTGGTGATTATAAAAGCCTAATATAACACATAAGTACAAAAAAACAAAAACAACATAATACAAAGTCATTACTATAAAAGCTTAAATATATATTGAATTCACATGACACAAAATGTTGCTTAAGGTGGAAAAAATGGTGCCAAGTATTGAAAGCTACACAGTCAGCCCTCGTACCTCCTATCTCCCATCTGTCTCTGCAGCTGTTCACAACGGGCTCAAAGGTCAATCATATTTACTACACACACACACTCATCTGTATGTATATTTTGTCTGGAGCATCTACACCGTTTGTTTTAGTTACAAAGTGTCACCAAATTACAGATAAATTACAGACCACATAATGGATTTCCTAATACAGACGGGTTGACTAAAACCATCCCACCATCGCATGGCAACAGGTCAAGCAAAGCACCAATCTCCACTGTCATTAATGCTCAAAAAGTGGCAGTTTTGATAATTATCTAACTGGAACATGCATTGCAAATTGTACTGGGAAATTAGGCTTCAAAAACATAACTTGCTGGAAACTAAGTACAATAAAATAGATTGCCTCTTAGAACAAGAAACCATCTGGTGATGATTGGAGAAATAATGGCTTTCTGTACTCTGGAGCAAAATATATTCTTCTCCTTCACCCCTTCTAGCTTTTGTTTCTGATACAACTATAGTGGATCTCTGGACTGTAACATAACGCAACACTGGGGTATGCTCCTCTGAGGGCACTATCAAAGGGTTTCACCCACTATTCACAAGAAAACAAATTGCCCAGACTCATCGCAAACCACCAACAACGAGGGCAGTAAATGAAATGAAGGAGGAATTTCAGTCAAGTGCGCTCCGTGCCCGTTTTCCTCGCCAAGGACACTCAGATCAAAATAAACCTCTGCTACTCTTCACTAAAGATGGGGGAGCAGCAAGAGGTTATCAAAATAAGTATGGCGGAGCCTGGCATGCATTTCCTTCATTAATTGGAGCAGAGCACAAATACAGAATGAGAAGCACTAACCTGAGCCTTTGGACGTCCGCATTAGCAGTGCGTGACAAGCAGCAGGGGAGAGAAATGATATGTCCATTAGTTTGCTTAGAGTCTTCTTTTATGCTCTCCGTCTTATGCTTTGTTAAGGTACAAGTGCATAGAAAGCCAGACTCTAATTTACACACCGCTGTCTAAGTGAACTGGGCAAGGAGACCTAGTCACGGGCTGCAGGTCTGACTTTATCAAATGGCCGACGATCATAGAGCAGACTTTTCCTAACACAATAGCTAGTTTCAAGGACTGAACTTGCTATTTTGTTTCAATAGTTACTACTGTCAGTTTAACGCAGGGGTGGGCAATCTTATCCGCAAAGGGCCGGGGCGTATGCAGATTTTTAGGATAACCTTTAGGTCAGTTGCTCAAATCCAGGGGTGAGGACTCTTCAGCCAATCAGTCCTCTAATTAGTAATCTGATTAGGGAGTTGCAGCAAAAACCCGCATACACACTGCCCCTTTGCGGATAAGATTGTCCACCCCTGGTATAATGTGTATCCCTTATATAAGTACAGCTTAAATGATAAGCTAGTATTACATCACCTTCAGAAATAAGACAGAAGCAGGTAGCACTGTGTTAAGGAACTAGATTTATGTGCAAGCAATTGCAGACAAATCTCAGCATGAGCTCAGCAATTGTACCATAGAAAGAGATAGCTAATATGAATTTCTTCTACAGAGAAAATGTCCCAATTGACAGCCGCAGTCATCCAATAGGCAAATAACTGCATATTAGTTAAGGTCACAGGTTCTTCCTACAGCTCTTACAGGCCGAACACTTTGGCTAGATTTCTAAAGACTTCCAGCAGGCTTCTCAATATACCCATTTCTTTGTAAACCTCATTAAGTGTCACAGTTTGAATCTAACTGCAGAATGATTGGAGCGTAACTGTCACCTGTACATGATCGAAAACAACAGTGTGGCATAAAGACTTATGGAGATTAATTTCCTTTTCATGATGGGAGCTAATAGATTTGCAAGATGCTACCGAATGTTGACAATGCCACGACAGGTGTGGAGCAAAAAAAAAAGAAAAGAAAATGATGAGTCATATTATTGCAAAGATCTTTCCTCAGCACATACTGGCACGATGCTCTACCAAATTACAGGTGTAAAACGTATCAAACTTTTGTTACACACATAACAAAACATCTACCAGAAAACTAACTCAAACTAACTGCATTCTTATTTCAATAAAAAAGTATCCTAACAATATGAATTAAAACGCCAGATACACACTATTGTACTGTATGATACTGATTATACAACGCAATGAAATAATTTAGCATTACAGCCCATGTCTTAAATATTTTAAGTATTTTATACTATATACTGAATGTATGGTGTTTAACATAATTACTTTAGAAATGCTGATTTACTTTAGAAATGTTGTTTTAATCATGGAAATTGAATTTGAAAATTTAAAACTGCAATGAACGTCTTCATATATTTCTCCACCTTCAGTACAAAAATATTTTCGTGGAGCAACTATTGCATAGTCTGATGGGAATTAGATGATTTTGTTTTGGAACGATATCAATACTCATGGTGCAGATGGCCATTTCATTATTTTTTTTTCCAATTTGATGGGCGGTGAGGCACTCCACTGCTGTCAGATGTCAAGTGAACATTAAGCATGCCAAAACGTTTCACTCTTCTCGTTTTTTGGTATTCTAATTAGCCGATGTGGCTACAGCTAACCTTTTTAACGAAACGGGAAGCTCTGGGCCATCTGGAGAATAGGAGGAGCTCAGTGATGCTTGATAGCTCCTGGCAGCTCCTGGGCCTCCGGGACGTCCGACCTCAGAGTTTCTGACTGAAAGGAGTCGGCTTGTCCTGCACAAACGCACCTTGTGAAAATGGCATCCACCACTATCTGGAAATTAACCACACCACGTTCCTATGGGATCAGTGATTTTAAAAATGCTGAAGTTCATAAACTAGCCAACCGGCCAGCGAATACTATCTTGGCATCTGGACCCATTTTCATAACTGGTACATGATTCAGTAAAAAACTGAATAGTGTATTGACTGATTTGGGACCCATGAGTTTGTGATGCTATACTGTATTGGCTGAATTATACTACTCAAGAATATTTCACATTTCCATCCATCCATCCATCCATGCTTATCCTGGTCAGTCACAGGTGAGCCTGAAGCCTACATTTAACATATTTCCTGCAAAAATGATGACATAAAGAGGATAATTCTGAAACTCTCATTCCTGGCCTCAATCTGCAGTTTTAAAATAGCCTAAAATGTTCAAATGGTCTTATCAGAAAATATGTGACACTCTCACAAGCTAAGCAAGCAGGAGATTTACAACATTTTTGCTGTGACATGCTAAAACCAGTAAGACACTGTAACGCTACACTAGTTTCTAGGAAACCATTTCTTCACTCCTTCTTCACATTTTCCAGAATATAGAGTTCCTTGATTACAGACGTTGCTAATCACCAACGTACATCTCACAGAGGCCTTGGAAATGGGTAAGAAATAACACCTCATCAAACCTGTAATCTGAAGCAGAATATCATTCTGAGGCGATGTACCAAATGCAAGACGTGGAAGTACATATTAATGGGGGTGGATTATCACTCAAATCTGTTTTTTTTTTGTGCCAGGGAAGTATTGTGTTAACACACATAGGGAATGGAGATGGAAGAGGTCTTGATTTAGTTCTGTGCATTAAAGAAAGGTGCATTTGTTTCATGGCAAATATTTTGTAGCTCTGATAAACATCCCAGATCTCAGCTTCAGAAAGGTGCACTATGGGACATTGAGTAGAAGACATTCACAAATAATGACAAATGAAAAGGTTCTGCATTTCAGGAAGCCTAATCATAATTTTTAGATAATTTTTAACATAACCCATCAGTGAATAACATTAATCTGCTTAATTAGTAATGATTTGAGGTCATAAAAGAAGATTCCAGAGAATGTCCAGGAGATCACCATAACCATCAGCACAAAAAAGCAAACTTACTCTAATGCTCATACACCGCACATGTCTGCGACGCATAAATGCAGCAGATCACATGTCAAGGTACCAGCATACAAGCCAACGTATCACAGCGCTTATAAATTTAAACAGCAATTTATTTATTTCCAGTTTCAGGCCAGGAATTAATTTCCCCATAAGATGATTTACATTGTTCGGACCACGCAATAAGTGGTTCCTGCTGCATCATGACAGACCTGTGAGCACAGCAAGTGAATGGCTGCTATTACTGAGTACTTGGGTGTGATACGACACTTATGGCTGTGGTGAGTTATGCAAGTGAGACAGGAGATGGGCTGCAGCACTAGCTAAGCCTGTTTCAGAGCTCTGGTGGGCAATGGAGAGCTTAAATCATGCACATAATGGGGGCCTGCAGAGATAAAGACTACAAGTCTTAACTCCAATACTGGAAGAACAATATTATATTATATACATATTTTGCTCCCTTTCTGTGTAATCACTGCATGCTGTGTGATAGCCGCTGCCTGTTGGTTCAGTGCTTGTCTGGGTTTAAGATATTTTCAAAAACATCCTTGGACTTGTTTGTGGTGAGACAGCACTTTGTTTGAGGCTCTTTGCTGGGCTTTGAGTACTTTTTTGGATTCAACACTTAGGCGCCACTCTATGACATGCCTGAGTCTTCAACAATACTGACTGTGTACACTGGAAAGGGAGGAGGTAATGTCTTTGGGTGCGATACATAACATACCTACTGTACAATTTTAACAAAATTACATTCTTCGCATCAGGTTGACTTACACAGTTAGAAACATCCAGAGCTGATCCAAGGAACAGTGGGATGCACCTCAAGAGGAATGCCAGTCCATTTGTTACAGAGCATAACAGTCAGATAACTGTATATTTTGATAAAAAAGATCCATTTTTGGTTATTTTTAACATGCTGAAAAGTTATCCAGGTTTTTAGCTATTTAATTGTTGTTAGTTTTATGATCAACTACTTTACCCCACATACTGAAAAAGAGATGCAAACATATTTTGCATGGTTAAATATCTGAGATGAGATCAGTGTTCCAGAGACAGTCAAATCTACTCTCAGCAAACCAATCTTCCAATAAAACAATAATTGGAAATGGTACGCTACTGGTGCCCAGTCAATGAGTGTTTTGGCATCTCTGGCTTAGTCATCACTGAGAAGCTCCACAACACAGCTTGCTAATCTGAGCAGAAGAAGAAGACAGCCACAGCGGATCTGAAAGGACAGATGCACTGTGTAAATTTAATTTTAGGCTGTAATTTCATATTGAGTCATTTTTTGCCAGCTGTGCAAGCAGCCCCAACAACATCTGTGCTGGGACTGTGGAGAGAGCAGGACACTCGTAACAGTGCTTCACAGAAAAGTCTCAGTGGGAGCTGAAGGAGGTCTGTGCTGAATCCAGCACTGTGAAATGTTTCACCAACATCATTTGTTTCGAAATTGATTTCAAAAACATTTTTCTAGATGTTTCCCGTAAGCAATGTGATTAATTGCTTAAGCCTAAGACAACCAAGGTGACGTTTCAGTTGATAATTACCGGACATGATAACCTGAAGATGCTTCTTCCGATTTCTTTTCATTTGTACTGTTAGTAATATGTTTACTAAATCACTACCTCCTTTTTCTGACCAAATTCAGCAATTTTCTGATGAGTTAAATCTGACTGAGCCAATGAGCATAGCTAACCAAGCTTTACGTTGGTTGTCAAAGTTTACTGGTTATATAGGCATCAAAGTCTACTGATTAAGTCCCTAACATTACCGGCAGAACATTATTTGAACTCTCCTTTCAACTGATAAGCCTACAGCAGACAGCATTAATTGAAAAACATCACAGTTATGCAGAACATTGCTACAGAGCTACTCAAGCTTTGGGAAATCACAACGTGTTTAAGTGGAGAGTACATACTACCAGGAACGGAAAGTAAATTTTCCATCTTGACAGCAAGAATGATCAAATCTCACCTGCATCAAGGTGTCAAAAGATGGCAGTTACACAATCAGTATATTTTTAAGAGCTTATGAAAAACATGCTAGATAGCACAGCATTTAGAGACTGGAGTGAAGCTTCCATACAAGAAGTAAATAACTTCATTCTAATGGCTTAAAATACCTAGAAGTGGGGCGCACAAGCACATTATATACCGTGGCGTCTCTGCTGTCCCATAAATACAAATAGCATGATCAAGTGCGTAACTTGCCCACATCTCTCCCTTTGTCCACTCTGAGAAAATAAACTTCAGAAGCAGAGAAATTTCACAGGTGATTTAGAAGGATCACACAGGGGGCCAGGTGGCTATGAATGTAGGTTTTACGCATGATTTGTGTGAATGGGGGAATACCTAAAATGTGAAAGAAACCTTGGAGAAGTACCAGCCCATTCGAAAAATAAAAAAAACAATATAATCTGTTGAATCAAACCTCAGCACTTGTTCACAGGCAGAAATCGAAACCACCTGCAATGATAACTTCACCATACATTCACGCCGATGATGCCAGACGGGTGTGCCAATATTACTAATACAATGCCTGCCGCCAATTATGAGATGATACCGATAAAAATTCATCTCCCTTTTTAGAGATTAAAACAGGCATTAGCAAAAGCAGTATGAGATATTTTGTTGGCAGCTTATTAGAGACCAATTAAGCTGGGGACATTATAAAGCCTGCTAGCGGCCACTTAACCATCTGTACATAAATCTCCAAATGAACACATTTGAATATTTTTCACGCAATCTGCCTCATCTGCATGTTGACCTCTACCAGTGACCATGTCCTCTAAAGACCATTCAGGCAGAGGGCTTTCAAAGTAAAAGTCCTCTTCAAAGTTCCTTTTTAAACCATGACCCTATGGGGAATACAGTGTGGAAAAAAGTACGAGGGAAAAAAAATCAAAGTGTACACTGATGCTAGCAAGGGTTTTCCTTCATTGTGTATATGCCACATTAAACAAGCTTAAAAAAACACTTTTGTGCTGTACCAGATCATTACATGTTGAAATGTTTTAATTGTGAATCTCTACCTGGTCCCTAATTATAAAATACACCAGGTCTGGTAAATATCCATTACTTTTGCCTAGTGCTGTGGGGCACACCACATTTTACACAAGTATGACCTGTGAGTGTGCTGCTTTTTTATTTTGTATGGTGAGTGATGATATTTGATTATAAACAGTATCTCATAAATATGTCAATAAATGCACTTTCAGCATTTAAAATGTTGTCGAAAATGGGGTGTTCGCAAAAATGATAAAACAGCAATTCAGTTAAAATAAATAAATATAATAAATATATAAATATACTAAAATTTCTATTTCTTTTGAGAAGAATGACCACCAATATTTTGCTTTATGTTACAAATGTATTTTGCCAGGATGTCTGTCATTGCGTACTGACGGGATATATTACTAAAAATACAATGTGGTTTCTTAAGTATTGCACATTGTTACAATTGTTTCCTCATTAAACAATCTTACCTGCATCTGGCTACTCAGTTTTATATAACCTAAAAATTCACACCCCTCTGCCCATCTAACAATGGCCCTTCATTTCTCGTTTACCAATGGTCCGCCCCTGTCGGCAGTTGTGGCTTAATGGTTAGGGAAGTGCACTTGTAATTGAAAGACTGCAGGTTCAAATCCCCGACCAGAAAAACACCACTGAGGTACCCTAAGCAAGATACCACCCTCAAGTACTGCTCCCTGGGTGCTGAATTAGCTGCCCCCGGCTATGTCACAATATCATATATAGCCGAGGACATATTTTGTTGTTGTGCACTGTGGTGTGCAAATTCTAATTCTAAATCTAATTCTAAATTAGATTCTAGTACTAAATTCTAATTCTAAAATTCCCTGCAAGTCCAACTTTAAAATCATAAAATATTGTTCTTAACAAATAAGATCAAGTTTCAATGGATTTCTGTTTCTTACACAGCTATGTGGATTTTACCTTTCAAGCCACGAATACTGGCTGCCATTTGACTTGCAGAAGGGGAATGGAAAATTTTTACTTGAATGCTGCTTTTTGTGGCTATTTTTCTTCGTGACAAATAATTTCCCACAGTTTCCTCCGTTTAAGGGATGCTATTGTTAGTCTGAGAGGACCACTGCATTCTCCTTCTGCTTGCTGTTTTGTGCTGCTGAAGACGCTGATGTCAATCTACCAATGAAAACCAACAAATAAATCACAGTAGAACAAAAATATCTTGAAAAATACTAGAATGCTACTCTGTAAGGCTCCTGCCAAGTGGATCGATTCCTATTGAAACCAGCTATGCACATTCGTATTTGCCCATAGAGCATGCCGTCACGGTTTTCCATCTCATACATTTTTGCATACTGGCTCTATTTGACTTTTATATATCTGTGCTGTAGTATGGCTCCCTGTTCACCAAAAATTCCTTTGGCAGCAAAAGTTTCAGCCTGGAATATCGAAGCATGTCGGGTTTCCAGCTACATTAACTCAGTATTGACTTGTTCCATCAGTGAAAATAAACGGCTCACTCCCATACCTCCAAAGGGCAAGCAATTGCAAATGCACCCTCAGTGCACTCTTTTATGGACAAACAATATGTGTGGTGCTGTTTCTGTCAAAGTTCAAGCCATTTTATTTACACAGCCTGTGCTATAACGCTGTGGGAATGGAGAATAGTATTGTCCACCCTAAGAAGTGCTCACCTCATACGTGGTACTACTCTTATTTACTAGCAGACCATCTTTGTCATTTGGAAACAATTTATTTTCACAGGCTATAAGTGTTAAAGAAATGTAGAAGTCAGTTTTAGCCTGGATTAATACAGTTTGGTGCCAGGTTTTGTTTTAAGGAAATGAGGGTTTTATATATATAATTCTAATTTTTGACTGAATTTTGTTAGCACATGCATAGAATACATTGAAAATTATAAGATGGAGATTGAAGGATACCAATGACAACACAGCCTGCCTGAAATCCCGACATGTAAATACAGACACGTCACATGATGAACATCAGGACGATAGCGCAGAAACAAGTCTGGACAGCTGAATAAATGAAGAGGGTTCTAAATCTATATAAACAGAACCTTTCCTGACAGTTTCTGGTGTCACAAGACATATACGAGGCACAGAGTCTCCACAGAGCTGCTTCGGCTCTGTGTGTATCTGTGTACAGTACCATGGTGGGAAAAATGGAGAGGGACACTATATCTGCTCTCTTAAATTCATTCATTTTCTGTTCTGTGTCTTTATTGTTGTATAACAAAAACCAAAGGCTTGATGTTTGTATATGCAAGCAGTTGAAAATATTCAGGAAACAATGATTATAATTCAACAAGCTTTTTAATTCTTGTCATTTACATTTTTTGACACAATAAATTTACTCAGGCACAAAAAAATTCACAATACCTTTCTCATGGAAATTTGTTGTTCTGTGGCTTAAACCGCATTTGATACTAAGTCTAATTTGTTTAAATATATTTCAATTCTAGAAGACAGCATCTTTGATTACCTGGATTGGGTCGTTTTGGTATATTATATACGCTGCATGCAACTACTTTACCATGTGTGAAATTATATGATTATGTGTGAAGTTAACACACATAGTGTCAGTCTGCAAAACCGGGGGGAAAAAAACTTGAATTACACATTACAAGTGGGTGACAGGTTAAGTGCTTCTGTTAACTTCATTAGTCCCATTTCTACTATTATAATCATAATTTGCACTATTAGACAGTATTATTTGTCTAATTTCTGTTGAGGCCGTTGTCCTTTTACAATAATGATAAGTAATGTTTGCATATTCTTGAAATATGGTATATATGCATTGGAATATACTCTAGTCGCAATAGTATAGTCGCGATAGTATAGTTTTGAAAATTTCTACTATAGTACAATTACTTTAATTGTTCCTTCCCAATCCCCCCAGACAACCAGAATTGGCAAGCTCCCACTCACCTGATTCTTCAGATCGAGCTTGGGGCAGGGTCGTCCTCCATTGAAGGGCTTCTCCCGCAGCCACTTGGACCTGACCTTCAGTCCGCTACCACAGGAGGCGCTGCACGCTGACCAGGCTGACCACTCGCTCAGTTTGCAGTCCAAGGGGCAAGGGACCTGACAGGCCTCCTCCAAGTACCCTGCGATGGAGCGTCCACAGGTAACATCAGGGAGGAGACGAGAAAGGTGGGTGGAGTCTCATTAGACCTTAGACTTTTTGAAGGTGTAAATAATAGCAACTGCAGAAAGTCACAGCGTATTTACCCAGTACTGTCAATCACAACCAATGGGTGAATGAGAGGGCATAACTATTCCACCAATAGGCTTCAAAGCCTCATTTCTCCCGCCATTGCTTAATAATATCGATCTTTATAAAGTCTGCTAATAAAGAGCTTTAACAAAGATCACACAGGTCCAGTACAAGTCATCACATCTAGTGGTTACTGATGAAATTCTGGTACCTGTGCTGTTGCACAGAGCTGGGTCGACCAAGCGGCCCTCATGGTCCACACAGGACACGGCCCGGAGTCGCAGGCCTTGGCCGCACTCGCGGGAATCCCGCGGAGCCCTCCAGCCGTGGCTCTCTGGGAGAATGCAGGACGACCAGTTCCCATAGGGCTGAGAGAGCATCTCCACACAGGGACAGGGCTCCTTCTCCACCAAGGGATACAGATCCGAGTTCTGGCATTTCTCTCTCTTCTTGCTGCGGCCTGTAATGCATTTTTTGAAGGAGAAAACATAAAAATATAGCTTCTAAAATTATATCAGCAAGGTACACTATATACACTTCAGATTTTGAGACATTAAAATAGAGAATATCTTCAAATATTATGAAATTAAATTAAACTAAATTATTTTAATAAGAAAATTAAACGATATTTATTAAAAGTGTATAATAAAACAAAATCTTATAAATTTACTTCCACAACTAGAATGTTTATTCTGTTACATATATTTTTGCTGTATCCATCAACTGTAGGCTATATACATCCGCTACAATATCAACACCAAACGTGTGTCTCACGACCAATGCGTGAGACTTGAGAACCTTATAAATATAATTCTTTGATTTAAAAAGTATATTTAAAAATCTGGTAAATGGTATTAGAGACCCTAAGCTCGCTATGTGAAAGAAAACGTGAAACGACCGCGTACGTAAAAAATCCCAGCGCGTGCCCCCTTCCGCGCGCAGGCGCTGCCTGTTTTCCACCCCGGCGTTCCGCGAGACGCCATCTGCCTCTGCTGATCGTCGGCAGTCTGATTGCAAACAGCGCTTAGCGACGCAAAGTTGCTGTCAGCTGCGGCAGCATGGCGACAATCTGTCAGTTTGCTTCAGAATTAAACGCGACGTCTCGCACCCTTTCTAACTTCCCTCCCCCCGCATTTATTATTGGTGATGGCTTTCCATGACTGATAAAATATGATTAAAGCATAATACTTTATTACAGTCAGTGTCACTTTGAAAACGCATTAATTTTCTCTTTATTTATTTCCGAATTTGATTAGGTGCGCATCGCTGTCGCTATCCCTCTGCTGTGAAGACGAGGGACTGCCTTTCAGAATTACCAGCACACCACGCAGAAGCCGACTGAACCCACAAAGGGCGACATTACGGACAGAAAAAGATTTTCAAATCGCCATCCTCTGCACTGTGAAATGTGTGAAACATTTAGAGGCAACATACTTTGCCGTAAACAACAACAGTTATTTGCAACGATCAGCGACCTATCAAAATTAGAGGCGTTATGAATTTCCAGGGAAAACAAACCGTCTAAAATAAAGTTGCCAGGTGACTATAAAAAGCAGCTGCAGTCTATGCTCACTTCAAAACTGTTCACTGCATGCAGGCAATCTGTGAATACAGAAATTTATACTGAATTATATAATGAAGATGGTATACATGATAAAATCTAATTTAATACCAAAATGACATATATACTTTTCAGAATGACAAGCAAGGCCAATTCTGAAGTCTAGATAAGAACATTATGAGGAAAGAAACAGGAGCTTGCCCAGACCTACAGGCAATGATGAAAGATTTATGATCAAAACAAATGACAGCAAACTTACATCAGGAACAAGTTGTGATCACTAAGGATTAAATCAAAACTTAAAGCCGGAGTATTACATAAGTTACATAAAGCTGGTAAGGTAGCCTACCTAATGTAGGTATACTTTTGGCCAGCAGAGATCATAAACTCCACACTTCTCACCAATCTCACGGTCCAGATCAATACCGTAGACTTGGTCTAGGGTTTATGTTATTTGGAAATGGATTTACAGGTTACTATATTTTTGACACTTAAACGTTAGCTCCATGTTAGCTCAAGAACAACTTCAAAGCAGTCAAAAGTGCTTGCATTAGTATTAAAGAGCTCGCTTTTAAACCTAAAAGCTGAGGTTAGCTTATGGGGGGAAAAAAGTCTTGGAAGCATTGGTGAGAACTGTGCTATACAGCAAACATCTGTTACAGTCCAAACCAACATCTTTGACACACCATAATCCATTCATTCGATGCCCAGCTGGATGCATGAGATGTAGCAATATACAATGCAATGTGAAACTGTGCCTACAGTTTCCTGTGGTTGTTTTAGAAATATGGATGGGCTACAAATATAATTAAAACAGCATACAAACAACTCCTGAGGCAGAAAATGTGCAGAGAGGGATTACTGGCTGCAGTCTCTGCTTCATTTTCAATCTGTACACCTTCCAGAGTAACTGTATTGGCAGGACTATTGGAGTTTTTCCATTTCCACCAAGAACCAAGCTGTACCATTGCATATTATCCAAGCCATACCCAAGCTGTACCCGCACTGACATGGCCGTGCTTGTGGTGATATGATGTGTAAATGTACGATTGGACGAGATCGGAGCACGCACAGTGGAATGTAAAAGTAGGCCTGCTAAGTCGGTGTCTTTGAATAGGTTATTCATTAAAAGGCTCTTCTTCTTCCAGCACCTGTCTAGTTAAGCTAAACTCACGGTACATTTGTACACAAGGAACAAAACAGTCGCCACCGAAAATTCACCTGACTGAGAACGTTGCTGAAAACTGGAGAAGGTCTAAACAATGCTTTGGGTTGTATTTATCAGTGTTTGACATGGACCGAAAACTGGAGAAAACGAGAGCCTCACTTTTGCTGCATGTCATCGGTGATGAAGCATGTGAGGTATATAGTGACTGTGATTTGAAGATGGAGATAATTTAAAGCCGATAAACGGACCGATTTGAAGCATTTTGTATACTGTACCTATGCGGAAAGTGACATATGAGCAATATAGATTTTTTACATGTGCTCAGAAAGCTGGGAAAACTATTGATCAGTATGTTACTGAGTTGAGACACTGGAGTGAAACATGCGAGTTTGGAGATTTAATGGTTTCTCTCATTAAGGACAGAATTGTTTGTGGCACTCCGGATAATAGTCTGAGAGAGAGACTCTTAAGTGAACAAGGTCTAGATTTGGAAAAAGCTTTGATGCTCTGCAGTGCAGCTAAGACCGTTAAGTCACAGGCTAAGGAACTTGTCAGTGAGAGCTGCACTGTAGATGCTGTGAAAGAGCGTGAACATGCGAAAGCTTGTAAAGCACTTAGAAAACTGACAGGGGGCAAGACAAGAGAAAGAAATTATGTGATCGCTGTGGACTACAGCATCCTCCTGAACAATGTCCAGCTTACAAGAAAACGTGCAATGACTGTGGTAAGAATAACCATGTTGCACGTTATTGCAGGAACGTGGCAGAAAAGAAGACAAGTAAATTCAGTGCTTGAAAATTAACCTGAGGAGTATCATATTGATGTGCTTTCTGAAAATGAACAGAACAAGCGGGATTGGACTGTACCATTATAAGCGAGCCAAAAAATATTCCGTTTAAACTTGACACTGGAGCACAAGTAAAGGTTATTTCAGAATCTGAGTTAAAGACATTCATACCAAGACCAAACGTGCGTGAAACAAATACTGGGTGACTCAGGTCATTCCAGTAAAATGAACCTGTGTGGCAAAAGTAACAAGCAAAAAACAAGGTGCATATGCAGTCATTTGTAGTGATGCCAAAGGATGTGCAATCGATACTGGGGTTCCTGTGAGTGATTGAACCTGGTGAAAAGAAGTCTGGGACAGTAATACAGTCAGAATACAATGACTTGATGAAGGAATATGGTGACTTATTCAAAGGGCTTGGTTACCTTCCAGGGGAGCACATGATTAAAATTGACAATATAATACCTCATGTAGTACATTCCTGTAGGAAAGTGCCTTTTGTGTGACACCATCAGCCGAAAGAAGAGCTTGATAGAATTCAGGCAAAAAATTGATGAACCGAATGAATGGGTCAATTCGCTTGTCATTGTTGATAAGAAAAATGGAATGCTGAGGATTTGCTTAGATCTAAGAGATTTCAATTGAGCCATTAGAAGGGAGCATTTTAAATTGCCTACCCGTGAAGAAATCATGTCACAGTTTGCTAACGCAAAATACTTCAGCAAATTAGATGCATCATCGGGATTCTGGCAACTTAAGCTCAACATTGTGTACTTTTAACATTCCATTTGCCAGATAAATCCATTCACGTGCTGTATGAATATATTATTGTTGTATATGTATTGTTATTATTGAATATATTATTGTTTGAGGATCATCTAAACAAGAGCATAATGCCAGACTTAGACAAGTCTTTGAAGCCACGCGCAAGGCAAATTTGAAGCTGAATAAGGACAAATGTAAGCTAGTAGTAACTGAACTTACCTTTCTGGTCCTGATCCATTGAAGATGGATTCTGCTGCTGAGAACATGCCAAGGTCACAATGTAAAACGGGTGTTCAAAGGTTTATGGGAATGGTCAATTACATGGAAAAATTCATACCCTTTTCCCCAACAGCTTGCACCACTGAGGTGGTTGACAGAAAAGATAAACAGCTGGAACTGGAATCATAAAGAGGAAAAGGCATGGCGAAATCTCAAGAAAGTACTCACAGAGGAACCTGTGCTGAAATTCTTTGATGCCGAGAGACCTATTAGAATCTCGTCTGATGCATCTCAAGAAGGGTTAGGTGCAGTACTACTTCATAGTAAGGCGTGGTTGCCAGTGGGATAAGCATCTTGTTTGTTATCAGACCCAGAAACAAGATATGCCCAAATTGAAAAAAGAGTTGCTTAGCATCATGTTTATTTGTGAGAGATTTCAGGGCAATCTGCTGATGTTGAAACTGATCACAAACCTCTAATTGCATTGTTTCAGAAATCTTTAAGTGACTGTCAATAGAGGATTCAGCAGCACTGAACGTGACATACACCTGGGAAGTTTATGTACACGCCTGATACACTCTCCAGAGCTGTGGATCCAGCATCAGATTACACCCACAAGGATGCTGTTGAGTTTCAGGCATATGTTGATATGACCATAGAAAATGTTCCTGTTGTTGCAGAAATGATGAAAATGATGCATCTTGAAACAGAGAAGGACAAAGTTCTAAGTCAGATAATATAAGTAGGGAGGATGGATGGATGGAGAGACCATAAGTCTGGCGGTACCTCAGAGGCACAAGAATATCGGAACCACAAGTAAGAGCTTACTCTTGTAGATGGGATGTTGTTCAAAGGCAGCAGAACCGTGAATCTCAAAAGCCACCAAAAAGAAATGCTTTGGTAAAATTCATAAAGGCCACCTAGGTATTGAAAAACGTAAGAGAAGGACATGGGAAGTGGTGTTCTGGCTTAGGATAGATCAAGAAATTACAGAACTGGTGTTTTCTTGTCCAATTTGTCTTAAATCCCAACCTACAGTAGTCACCGTAAGGATCCACTGCATCTACATCCTAGTCCTCAGAGGCCTTATCAGAAGGTGGGCATTAATCTGTTTGTAAGCGACAACAAAGATTGTTTATAACGGATTACTACTCACTGTTCTCTGAAGTGTGCGGTCTGAGCAGAACTGCTGCAGAGAATGCAGTTGCGTGAATGAATTCTGTTTTTTCTAGACACAGTGTATCTGATAAAGTTTTTCATGACAATGGTCCACAATTTATAAGCGAATGCATGAAAGTTCTACCCCATTTTTCCTTCAGTTGAATGGATTGGAGTCACATTCACCATAGGATTTGGACCAACAACAAATTTGTGCATATGCTGTGTGTATTTTTGTGATCAACCTGGTCCAGAAGAGGTGTGTTTACCTGTCAGCATGCGCCTGCGGCTTCTCCAGCCCCCACAGGTCAGGCACTCGGTGAAGTCGGACCAGGGGCTGAGGCTGCAGTCATCGCGGCAGGGAACTCGGCAAGGCCTGAACCGCCACGGCATGGGACCAGCCCACTGCAGGCAGTCGGCCACCTCTGCTGCTTGGCCGTCATCTCGCATGCACGTCACACCTGACGGGACAACAGAGCCCATCAGTCCTCTGGCCGGCATTCGGCACGGGGAACAACCGGCAGTGGAAGTGAGCAAAACACTAGTTATTTTACGGCGTCATCTCCAGCATTTCCACACTAGAATGCAATGCAAAAATCACTGTCAATTCCACCATTTAATCATTATGCAATCAAAGAATAAAAATATATGTATTTTCAACTCTCACTTGCTGGATGCTGGTGGGGCTCTTTCATCCACCTTGGTGTGAATTTCAGTGTTTCATGCAAGTAAATTAGTAGTTTAGGAACCACAGGGTTCATTGTCACTCACGAGAACAATGCATTTATTACGCCAGATGTGTTTTGTTTCCCTTCATGCCGGAGCCACAAATTTTCCACATCGCCTGAAACGATGACACATTTTGACACAGAGACGTGCTGTGTGTCTTTGTCTGGAGACAGGACCACCTGGCCTCATCAGAGGTGACTAAGAGCTTCAAAAAGCCTTCACTGAAGCACTTTAGGTAAGAAGAACCAGCAAGGAAGCAGTTCCTAAAGCAAACAATTGTCACACTCCCACGAGCAAATCGAGTCATTAAAGTGAAAGAAAGGAAAAGATACTTCTCAACAAAATCAAGCCCGTCCAGCCTGAAAATGATGCATTTCAGACATTATAACAAAAATAGCTATCATATGTTCTTTAGAATCATCTTGTTAAAACATAAAAGTTTCAATGTTGTCCTCACCTACAATATTATTAAATACTGTAGGAATTATTACATATGTTTCTGAATTTTTTGAATATAAAAAGACAATAAGTATTCTAATTATTTTAAGTTTGTCCTATGATGTCAGACACAGATATGTAAGGAGAAAATGTAATATAATTTTCCTAAATGCAAATATTAATCTTTAAGGATAACACTACTCCCTAATAGTAATATACGGCCATTAACTTTTTAAGTGGGTGTGAAATAGCTACTTTTTAAGAAATATATCTTGTTAATGAATCACCACTATGTGTTTGCAAATGTAGTCTCCAGCTCAGGCACCATTACTAAATTCAGCATTCAGATAATATACTGTCATGCTGGCGAAATCAAAGGCACCCCTTGATAATACAGAAATTGATATCCAATGCCTTGTGTGTTATCTCTAAGTACATAATTCACAGTTCTTAAATATGCCCTAAAGGGAAGTAAAGAAAAACTCTCTTGACTTCTCAACCCCAAAATATGATGAACAAGGGAATAATCATGAAATGTTGGCCAATTTCAGCAAATGACAGCAATATTTCTGCTCCGGTGTTTCTGTAATATGCAAGGGCTTGAAGGCATAATGAATGTTACCGGTGTAAGGCAGTCGACACTAACAGTGTTAAAATAGACTGGTAGCAGCTTGAAAATGAAACGATGCTTTATTATTTGTCAAAGATACAAAGGTGTGCAGAGATTAAGGACTGAACAGCAAGCAACTATTCTGCCCAGCTGGGAATCGAGCCAACAACCTCCCGATCATACCCACAGATGCTTATCCCACTGAGCCACACACTGCAGTATCCAGGAATCATCCGTTACGTTGAAGCTGAGACACAATTGGAACACTGTGGGAAGCGGAATCTGTTTAGCGGTGTTTTAATTTAACAAGCAGCTTCTTTGTATAAAAGGTGCCCTTCATACAGTAAATAATCTGTTTATAAAATAATTTCAAAATATTGATATGACACTAAACAACCGCTTTTAGGGACATAACCTTAATTCCCTCTGAGAGTAGTGTAGTTATCTGAGATAGCAGCCCACATCCATTGCTCTTCATGAATCATTAATCGAAAAACACGCTTTTAAGTCAAGCATATTGATTTATATTTGACTTTTAAATTCTGCCCCTCTGACTGCGACTGCAGAGTGTTACTCTAGTGGTGATCCAGGTAGTGTGGCTGGCAGACAGGGGACAGTGGGCGGGCAGTGTGACAGGCTCCCAGAGGCAATGCTGTCACTAGTGTTTGTGTGAGCGGTCGCACCGGCTTCTGCAATGGCTGAAACATTTGCTATAGTTTGTGTGAACCAGCGTGACAAACCACTGTTTTGTTATTTTTTGTGACATTGGTTCCCTAGTTTGCTATACATCTGCGTCGGGGCGATTCTACGATTTCTTTAAAGAAATTACCCAATGATATGCTTTGAACGGGTTACTGGCATGGGAGGGTGCACTCTGGGGGGCCAATCAGCTTTCAGCAGGGGCCAGTGAAAAAAAAAAAAAAACAACTGATACTATTGCATATTGATTCAGGGGCATTACAGTCTAATTTCTAGGTTACAGATTACGTTCTTTAATTTTAAATATCACTTTTATTCAATTAGTTAGCTGGTAGCCATTTTTAGTTAGTGAATTACAAAAACATTGTTTAATTAATAGTCAGCTCAGTTATAAGATAAGCTTTGCTATTCTATATATAAAATATATAGCATTTAAATTTGTTCATGCAACATTAAACATTTTTAATTGTTCAAGACTCACATAATGACAGGCCCATTATAAAATACAATGACAATTTAAAATTGACATACAATTATAAGTTATTCCTTTTAACTGTTACAATGTTAAAATAGCTGGATTGCTGTAACCCATCAATTCTCAGGCTGACATGGGGTTTAAATGGTTTTGCCAGGCTGCCCAATTTTAGTGCAATTATTCCTGCTGCCCCTACACACCTCTCCAGAACTTTCTGCATGATCCCCTTTCACAACTACTAGCATGTTATCCTTGCCTCAGCTTGTGACAGAGATCATCCATAATGATGTTGTTTCTTAGAAGGGGTAACGGGATCTGCTGACTCTACAAAAGAGCAGTACCGGGAACTTTCTGTGCCGTGAAATACTTGTCAGGTTCCTCCCTCTGAAAAAAGAAGCCCCCTGTACTTATTAACTGTACAACACGCATTTGTAATGAGGCAGGCAGTTCTTCCATTGTTTGCAAGAGTAATAACAGGAAGGTGGAAACTGAAATCACATCCTTAACTCTACATCACATCCCCTGTTCATTTTTTTCAAATATAAATATGCACAATTTGAATACAGCGGAAAACAATAGACAGCTGAAAATGAAAATACTGTCTTCTGAATGATGACTGAACTTGTGGCAAAATAATCAGGATTAGCATGAGTCTATATGTTTTTCTCTAAACAGATTTTAAGTCTGAAAAAACCCCACCAATGCTGGCTTTCTCATGGTGCACCGGTGTCATTGTTACAGCTTGTTGGCATCATTCCTGTATGGATTCACAAGAGCTGTTTGACATCATTCGACTCCTGTGCTGACATTTATAGTACAACACGCTGTAAACTGAATACGAATCAGATTAAAAGGAAGAAGGTTACAGCCTAATAACTGCTTGCTGGGGAAATGATAACGGAGAATAAAACAGTACAATTCTGATACATGCATACATGACATGAATCAATAATTTTTTCTGGTAAAAGAGCACAGAAAGAAATTCAGTAACTCAACAGGCATATATGTATATATAAGCCTGAGTGCACCATCAGGCATAAGACAGCCAAGGCACAGTAACAAGGTGGAAACCACTGCTCATGAAGACCACAGTGCTGGCTACAAAAACTTCAATATCTTCTACTTCTAGACCAATGTTTTGTAAGCAGATGAGTCCAATAAGAAAGTCTTTGGTTGACAAACTTCTACTGTATTCAATCCCGCTTTGTGACTTTGACAGCAAGAACCTTATTTCATCAAACGCTGGTGGTTCTGTCACGATGCGAGAAGGCTTCGCAACTAGTCATCATTAAATGGAGCAGAAATTCACCTTTGGGTCATTTTAGAAAAAAGCAGTACTTCCAGAACTGAAATGACAGTAAAAAAATCAACATTAAAAAAAAAAATCACCGAAAGCTCCACAAGCGACAGGGATAAAGCTTTTCATAAAGCAGATGCCTTAAACCAGGGTTCTTCCAAATCCAGGCCGTGTTTTCAGTTCTCCCAGGTTGTTGTTTAATAATTACTGATTCTGATTGGTCAGAGGCTTCTCACCTGACTGACAGGTAAAGGAAGGCTGCAAAACCAGCAGTGCTCGGACCTCGAGGACCGTGAGTTGAATAACCCTGCCTTAAACCATCAACTGATATAAAACTCGATTCCTATACAATTTAGTAGATGCTTTTATCCAAAGCAACACACATTTTTTTGTTTGTTCTTTGACATTAGGGTCAGCAGGGTCAGCCAGTCCCTGGAACAATCATAAGAACAGTCAGCTCATCAAGCTCGTTTGGGGAGAACTTAACTAATAGCTCAGAGTTGTTAAAATCTTATCCAGCTCTGATTTAAAGGAACCCAGGGTTTCAGCTTGCACTACACTAGCAGGAAAACTATTCCATACTCTAACTACACGCTGTGTAAAGAAGTGCTTTCTCAAATTCAATTTTAAATGTTCTCCCGCTAATTTCCACCTATGGCCACGAGTTCTAGTATTTAAACTAATATTAAAATAGCCATTTGGCTGAACAGCATTGAGACCTCTTAAAATCTTATATACTTGGATCATGTGCCCCCTTAATCTCCTTTGCGCGAGGCTGAGCAGATTCAGCTCAGCTAACCTCTCCTCATAAGACATTCCCCTAAGACCAGGAATCATTCTTGTAGCCCTACGTTGAACTTTTTCCAAGGCAGCAATGTCCTTTTTAAGGTATGGTGACCAAACCTGCACACAATATTCTAGGTGGGGTCTTACCAAGGAATTGTATAATCGTACCATCACCTCCCTTGACTTAAACTCCACACACCTAGAGATGTAACCCAACATCCTATTGGCCTTTTTAATTGCTTTCCCACACCGGCGAGAGTGGGACATGGAAGCATCAACATAAACACCGAGGTCTTTCTCATAATCAGCTACCTTTATTTCAGTGGAACCCATAAAATATCTGTACTTCATATTTCTGCTCCCTGCATGGATTACCTTACATTTATCTACGTTAAATTTCATCTGCCAGGTATCAGTCCAGTCACTAATTAAATCAAGATTCCATTGTAACCTCTGTGCTGCTAATTTAGTAATCAAGGGGTTAAGGGTCTTTCTCAATGGCCCAACAGTGAAATCACTGTTGACAATGGGCTTTGAACTGGAGACATGGGCACAGCATCCTAATCCATCAACCCAATTTCTGACCCATTAATACTGTGGATTAAAGATCAGTCAGATCCAAACATACTGCTCAGCGTGGCATTCACCCACAATGGTAATGCAAGACTTACCTGAGTGGGACACAGAGTCACTAACAAATCCTCAGATTCAACAGCCGAGGACAGAGTACTACAGTAGGCAAGTCTACTGCTGAACATTCTCAGTTTCTCAGAACACTATTACATCCAGAGTCAAAAACTGCATCATTACTAAGATATGCGAGCTGCATTTACAGGATCAGCTATTAAATATATAGGGTCAATGTTTCTATATACAGAAAAAAAGGGTGCTTGTGAAAAGTTGCAGATCTGCTCAAAGAACATTTTATCGCCCCTGCTGCACGCTTGCTATCTTGCAGCTAACGAGGCCCTTTCAGGCCACACTCAATGAACAATGCCTCCCCAACTGCCTGCTTTGCCGAGCCACTGCTCTCGTTGGTTCATTTACTGCAATTTACAGCATCTCCATTTTAGACAGCAATTTATTCACTATTACGCTGATGCAGCAACTCCCAGCCTGCTAATTTACATCCCCACGAAAGTTCTTACACACAAGCTCAATAAAACACAATCAAATTAAACCAGTGAGAAAGTTCCTGGAGTGTTTCTCCAGGAAATATAATACACATTTAAGCATGGACTGCAGATTTTACACCTGATTAATTCTTTGCACATGTGGCATTCTTTGTTAGGGCAGTTCAGATTTCATAAATTTAACGTAAACCAAATCAATGGGTGAAATGCTAACACAGAATACAGAGCAGCAGAGAGATTTTTTTTTTATCACATGATATTTTACCATGGTTATTTTTATCAAGGACAATGATCCTTTGAAATAAATAAATTCTGTAATGGCAGACCTTGTGTGAAATGAATGCTAAGGACTACAGATCCAATGGAGTTTTCAGAATAATGAATAGGAAATTGGAAGCTTTGATTGGTTCAAAATTTTCGTAGCATTTCACGACTCAGATGGTTTCATATCTCCAGGAACATGATAGTACAAACTGATGTGGATGAAAAGAAAAAAAAAATCTTGTTTGCCAAGTTCCAAAAGCCAACAGCCTGGCTTATTAAACATTACAGTTACTCAGCTGGCTTTGAAATCATCAATCAATATATCTATTCATCCATTTTCCAAGTGCTTATACAGTGGTCAGTTAGAATAAACAGCAGAATAAAATTCTTTTTGGTTCTCTTTAAACAGTTTTGATTAAATGTGTTACCCAGTGGTTAATGATCTGATGATGTGGACTAATTCTTTTTCACAATATATTAATAAGGATCCATTTAAACTTTTCTCCTGTATTCAAAAATTGTAGCTCGTAATTTAACACGTTTACCTTATTTTAATTAAAATTGCATCAAAGGTTAACAAGTGGATCAAGTCAGTTTGTATGAAGTGTGCTTGAATTTACTGAAACCAGAATGAACGTAACACTGCTACATAACAACATTTTCAATCCCTACCATAAAAAACAGAGAAACAAGAGAAAGAATATTCTTGTTATGTTTAACTCAGACATTCATTTAAAATGTGACAGGTATGTATGCACTTATATAGGAGGGCATGTCATTTAATGCAGTGAGTAAAAACCAGATCTTGCCCAGTTGATTCTAGGAAGCAGAAGTAAAATATTCTCCCGGGATCTGCTACATGACTAAAAAACCTGTTCCAAGTAATGTGTAATGAAATTCTTGCATTGTTCTGATATAAAATATTTCCCACTCAGTTTCCATTAGAAACCTCCCATTACTTAATACAGTGTTAAAGGTAGAACAATTAGCTGGGCTTTCTTCTCAACTGTCTCTCGGGAATTTTTATACTTACAGTAGGTCGCAAACCTTTTCATTCACCTTTAGTCAAGAACATTCTCTAACCTGTCTTTATATGGTAACCCTTAATGACAAGGCGTCGTTCTTTGTTACTCTTCAGAGAACAATATACATACTAAAACAAAGTAACAGGAGCTGAACGCAGGATTGTATGAGAGGTAGAGCTTACGGGGGAGCTTCAGTTAAATTCCTTATTTTCTTTAGTCTTAAATTGCATCCAAATTACATTTTACTATTATTAAGTCAGAATCATCTTGCAAGTTATTTGCATTCTGTGTATGCTAGACAACCTATTTTTGAATAAACTATAAATAAACCAATTTTTTTAATATTCCAGAATCAATTGTATTTTTGCAGATTAAAAAGAGTAATTGGCCCCAATACAGAACCTTGCAGTACTCCACTGACCATACCCTCCCAGCTAGAGGTGATTCCTTCAAAATCAAAACACTGCCTTTACAACTAATTTTGCTCCCATCAAGTACAATGCTTTTGATTGCAATTTAAAAAAAATAGGATTATGCCCTCTACATGGAGATTCACCAAATCCCCTGTTAGAGATGATTTTTCGGTCTGAAATCCATGGTTACCGTTTAACCAGTAAGTCATTATAGACTGAACTATAATCTCCAACTTTAGTACCCATGACCATGACCAGCATAAGCGCTTAGAAGAGGGACAGACAAATTACTTCAGAAGTAATAAAAGTGAATGTGTCTGAAGTTGTCAGGACTGGCTCTGTTTCTACTTGATACTATTACAACATATATCATGTTATTAATAAAATCACAAGAGGCCAATCAATCACAACTCATCATGATCCGAATAGCTGGGGGAATATGATCATGATACAGAGATTTGCTAATTTTATGATTAAATAAACCCTTCAGCATGTCACATTACAAAATATAAATATTAGACTGGGCAGATAGGGGAACGCCAACAATCATATTGGCATTTTGCAAATGTTCTTTTTAGAAAACAGCTGTGCCAAATATTCATTTTAATCCCTAAAACATGCCTGCTTTGTTTTGCAGCCTCAAAGCATCAACTTCTGCAGGGTACGGCTGTGATTCTGAAAAGGTTTTAATATTGTCTTTGTGTTGTACATGGGACATTGCAAGCTTGGCAAATGGTCAAAACGGAGTTGGTGACTCTCACCTCTGACCTCCAGACCTTGGCTACATGATTCCTCGGTGCCTGCTGTTCGATGTTGGACTGTGTCAGGCACAAGAGTACACTCCTGCCATCTGTGAGTCTTCCACCTTTGAGGATAACCAGAGAAAACAAACTTACACAGAACAAACAAAGTGTGATACACGGGATGCCCAACATTGCATCAAAAATCCCAGTCTTTACAAATTTCTACACATGATTTTTTGGTGACTACATTATGCAAATCACCCCAAGCGCAGAAATTCAAACTTGATAGGATTCATCAACTGAAATAGAATTTTCTCTATTACTAAAAGTAATCAATAGTCTTGCATTTGTTTACCTGTAGGTTGGGCAAGCAGGAAATGAATCACACTCTCTCTCCTCGTAAAGAGTATTGGGACATTCAGTTCCCCCATTAGCTGGTCTCTGGATGATAATTCTGTATCTCGACTGGGTGGCTGTACTTTCATTGACTGGCAAGTCAGAAATCAAGTAAAACAAAGAAGCAGAACCTTATATTGTGTGACAATATGAATGCGGTCTTAGAATAAGAATAATTACTAGGTTTCCAAAGCAAAGAACACAATACTTTTGGTTTATAATACAAACCGAAACAACAGATTTTATTTTCCCAGTTCCAAGTGTTGAGGATTTTTAGGTGCAACATCTGTGGTGGTCTAGACCTTGCACATATTTTACCATAACACAATCTGTGAGGATTTCTTATTTCATCCTTTTTAAGACCTTCACTATTATTATAAAAATGATAAATAGATAAAAATATTGACCATTTTAGTGAGAATAGGATAAAGACACTTTTTGACCGTTTTTTGCCATGTCAGTGAGAGTGAGTGACTGCCTGTTGAGTGGCTGAGTGTGACACGGTTGGACACGGCCGGTCCCCTTCGGCTCTGTTTTGGCTGATGGAGAATGCTGGTGAAATGAGTCAACACTAAATGGTGATTGGGTTGTATGTCAACCGTCACCTCTAGTCGTGCAGGTGTGTCCCAGCACTAATTTTCACAATTGACAGGAACAAATCATTTGTTAGCCTTGCTTGATGCTAGTGTTTCCAGTCGGCTTGGCGTGTACTCAGTTTAAGATAATAGCTAAATGACAGCACCAGCTCTTCTCGGGCTAATGCAGTGATTATTAGCTTTGGAGCTTTTCAGCAGCATTACCTGGGAGGCAGGTGGAGGGACACTGGGTCCATTCACTAAACGGTGTTACAATACAGTCTTTCTTGCAGGGCAGTAAACAGGGCCGGAGACTGTCTGGCCTGGAGGACTCAGGACACCTGCAACAGAAGTAGGGGCTGTTCTTAACTCTCAAATTAGAACATAATCAGCCTGTTTTACAGACACACACACTGCCTAGTGCACAGCATAACTACCAATGTGAAATGTATCTATTAGACCAAGCGCTGTGCTGTTGTAGTACATGTTAAGCAATCAGGCCAATGAGTGCCTGCCAGGAAAATGATGAGAGCAGCAGACTGAAATGCTGGAGACTGGGAACTCATGGAAAAAACCAATTAATGTCCACCCCCTTGGCTGCTCACTAAACCTGGAAGTGTGTTGAGCCATTTAAAAATCTCTTCCCATAATGCACTGGTTGGAGTGCTACCAATGCTGGGCAACAATCCTTTTCGGAGACACAGACTAAGATTAAGATGATAGTACTGTTGCAATAATGCAGAGGAACCTTTCAGGAAAGGTTTATTGTTTTTCAGATATTATAGTGCAAAACATCAGTTACAACTTAGAAACAAATAATTGAAAAAAAAAAAAGTAAAAAAAAAGTCTTTCATGATACTGTACCTCTGAGAGCCAGAGAGAGAGACAACTTCTTAAACTAATGTGCATTCACTGGAGAGTGAAATGTAGTAAAGATTGAAAAATTGTTCGAAAGTCGGCAGTTTAGGGAACACATAATGCAAACTGCCCGTGGACAGTAAAATCCACTAATCAGGCCTTATTTGGTGCAGAGTAACAGCAGAATGCAGAAAAGAAATGAAAACTATGCACTGTCTTCTGTTTGCTCACCTGACAGAATCTGTCCCTATAATATAAATGAGAACATTTGCAAATGGTATCTCCAAATAATGTTTGTTGATTTTGTATTATCTTAGCGACAGTTAATTGAAAAAGAAATGTGTTAAGCAGGCTAAATTCCTGAGCATGGCACCATTAGTCACAGTCATTTCCCTCAAATTAATCCATCCATCTTGCCACCGCTTATCCAGTTAGGGTCACGTGGGGGGGGGGCATGGGGGCAGCACAGGGCACGAGGCAGGGACATGTCACGGACAGGATGCCAGTCCATCGCAGGGCACGCACACAAAGCATATACTACCAGCATATCAGAAATGTCAACTAACGCAACCATATGTGAGTGGACTGTGGGAGGACACCAGAGCAACAGAGAGAGAGAGAGAGAGAGGGAGCGAGAGAGAGAATACGCAAACTCCACACAGCAGAGCAGAAGCAGGATTCAAACTCCCAACCCCGGAGGCAAGAGACATTAGAGCTACCCACTGAGACACTGTGCACTGTGCCCTGCCTCAAACTAATATTAATCTTAATACGCAATTATACACATAGTACATAAAAGCTTTGATCAACACATGAGTGTATACACCCAATTTGTACTGGTTACAATTTTAGTCACTTGATACTGTATGTATTCCCATTTTATACGATCATAGATATTTGAGTGCGTAAACAAAGTCAGATAGAACTATGCTTTGAAAGCAAAATGATGAAATATCTGCTGGCACAGAGGAACTATGAGCTGATGGGCTCCAAAGGTCAGAGGAAGCTTCAAATGAAAGTGCTAAGAGACCATGTGTGAAGCTTTGCTCACCTTTTAAAACAAAGAGGATAACAGTCAATGGCTACTGTCACTTATTTTCTATGTTTTGGTGCCTCGGTGATCAAGTGAATTAAAAGCATGGTACCAGTTGGTGAATTTTATGTATTCTTCCATAGGTACAGTGACAGACAGTACTTTGCATTTATATTATGCAGTTAGCTTTATATATAAAAACACTCCCTCCCAGCGCAAAACAATGATGCATTTTGAAGTGTCTGTCAGAAATGAAAGCTCATTATTACAGCTTATTAAATTTGCTTTAAATCTGCAAATGGACCATTGAAATGAGTCCCAGGTACCAGCAAAAAGCTGAAAAACATTTTATTATCTCTTCCTGGAAGCATGAACAATAAATACAAAATAAATGAAGAATATTAAAAAAGGAACAATGAACACCCTGCAAGAATACATGCAAAGGTGTTCAATAAACAAACTATATTAATATTATTATAATATTGTATGAAATTTTGACAGATATAATTTTGAAAAGCTTGAGGACTTGAGTAATAGGCTGCGTAATAAATGGAACTATTCATTCTAACATATTCATTTATATTATGCAGAAATACAACAATTTAATAAGTGAGCAAGGTAATAAAGTATAAAAAATCCCTAAAGTAAAACAGCGGCAAGGCACTTCTCAGGAATCAGTTGTGGGTGATTAATTTATAAAGTAAATGTCAGAGTTTTAAAGAAATATGATGTGTGGTAAGTTGTTAATTAAAAATCTTGCTGAACTGGGCTTGAGAGATGAGTTTAAGATTGTTTGCATGCTTCCAGAGTGCACTGGCATGTTGGAGCCATGATGATGTCATAATTTTTGAAATAAGGCAAAAATCAGGAATGTCTAATAATGTTTAGAGACTACTATAAATACAACCAGTGGTCAACCTGTGTAGAAGAACCACAAACTAATAAATAGAAGTATGTTCTTTTAGAGATACCTCCCTCTCAAAAAGCATATTAGCAAAAAAGCTGTCATTTCAGCGAGTCAACAAACTAATTGTGGGTGGTGTAAACCAGGTATCCGTGGGACTGTCCATCTATTCTTTTTTTGGCTTTAAATGCAAAACGTTGCAGATATTAAGAGGAAAAACAAAACAAAAAAGTGTCATGGTTTTACAATTTCACGTTATAAATAAATTAGACTTTCAAAAAATGTAAAATTTTTAGACAGCATGTTACCTCTTGGCAATCACCAGGCCGCTGGTCATCTTCATGCAGGACACCTTGCGAGTCTGCATCCCCACAGCACAGGTGGGCTGCCCGTTGTAGCTGCTGGTGGCGTTGAAACTGGTCATGGAGGAGTCTTCCATGCAGGGGCCCCATGGAGAAGCCTCCCAGTAAAATACCATGCATGGGTGCTCGTTACAAGAGCGCCACTCCTCCAGAGAAGCAGCTGCAGGGCAGGGTCTCCCACCTACGTCAAAAACAAAGTCTCAGACAGCAAGACACCCAGGCACACGCCCCCTCATTTTCTCATAGCATTTAATGACATTTGGGTTCTTCCATAGATTATCACTGACATTCTCCTTGACAATACAAAGCTTGTCCTGGAAATTCTCCCCAATATCTATTCATACAATTCTGTTGTTTTGCACTTACCTATAAACAAGTGGCTTTGTTCACACAAAAAGCCTAATTGCTCACCTTGAGGAAGACCAATGGAATTTCCTTGATGGGAAAATTGGTGACATCAAGTGCCTCTTTCGTTCATAAACTATATAATTGCCGGTGTGTTCTTTGTAGTTGCTAATTAAACTAATTATTCAAACTATGTGCGTCCCTGACATCTCCCTGACACTCCACCGACACAGACTCTGCTAAATATTTTAGTATGCACTGTGCCAAAAAAAAGAAAGAAAAGAGACCACAGACAGAGTGAATATTAATAGGGAACTGCTGCGTTAATAACATTCGACTGGCCTGTGAAAAATGTCTGATTTCAAAAAAGCCATTTCCATGCAGCACAAATGTGTCGACAGTTAAAGCAGGAAGTAACTTTGAGTGGGGGGGCGGGGGGAGGGGGGGATTGGGGTCCCCAGGCTGTATCGTATTTTTTTCCCTTTAATTACACTGCCGTTCACACGATCAGAATCAAACCGCACGTGATTTATGTCAGAACTTCTGAGTCAATCGCAGGATAATTCAAAGCCCCTATATTGGATTTGAAGGAGCCGCACTTCCTTAGATAACGCTCTCCACGATGGCAGGGACCACAGCGTAGGTGAAATCCAAAAACCCACTGATTTAATGTTTCCGTAATAACGTTTGCTTAGCGGGATTTGCTCAATGTCATATATTTTAAAGGGACTAATTGGCAATTATTGCTAAGCCTTATGCGTCTGTGGGAACAGCTGCTGAATCTATTCAGTGCTGATGTCTAACATGGTGTCCTTGCCCACGCAGGGCTGCGAATTTCCTGCCTTGAATGTTTTGCAATAAATTTTTTCCAGGACTGTCCTGGACTATAAGTGAACACTTGTTATATACACTGACAAGTTACGACTGCCTAGGTTTTAAAAAAAAAAAAGAAAAAAAAAAACTGTATAAATTTGATTAACTGCAAGGCTGCTGCAAGATTTTCATAGGCCTAAATGTATATCACATCAATACTTCATGTGAGGGCTTCCTGATTGGGGAAACTAAATCCAAGAGGGGATTTGTGGCCGACTCGTGTTCCGCTTATGTTCCAAAGGAAAAAAATAAACTTCTTCCATTTTAAACGTTTATTAAACTATAAACATAAATCAAAAATAAACAAAAAAGTCCAACGTTTCGGCATATTACAACAATGAACTTCCACTGTTTAAACATGGTTTAACACGATCCAAACACAGTCAGAAAAATGTGAACCTCCACCGTTCATCCCAAAGCCAAATGCCCCTCCTCCCCTCCCCCTTTACGGTTGTTAACGTTATGACTATAGCATATGCAGTGACTATAGCACATGCAGTGACTATACCACACGTAGTGACTATACCACTTGCAGTGACTATACCACACGTAGTGACTATACCACATGCAGTGACTATACCACACGTAGTGACTATACCACATGCAGTGACTATGCCACTTCCTTAAAATAACAGGCATCAAATTAGACACATAAACCTCTAGGAGGCATTTGGCTCCTACATTACCGACCCCTTATTGTTTTAATAATCTTAGAGCTTTACCACCTGCCCTTTCTGAGTCCCAAAGGAGACAAATCTTTGTAATGGGTCTATCCAAGATGTTCATTGTTCTCATTTGAACTCTTCTAAGAAGTCCCTTCTTGTCTGCAAATGACTCCCATAATCCATTAGTTTCTGGCCGCACAGTCATCCCCCAGAAGAACAATATCTCCTTCTGCACAATTTCTTGAGACTGTGGGCCACCACTGACGCTCCTGAAATTGAGGCAGGTATTCTTTAGTCCATCTCTTCCAGAATAAGTCAGATATATGCGTATATTGTACTTGTCTCCAACTACGTCGTGAGTAGAGGTCATCCTTGTCAAACAGCCCTGGCGTTAATGATAGTTTCACTTTCAGCAATAAGAGATGATTAGGTGTTGGTGCCTCCAAATCGTTGGGCCCTGATGAAGCAAATACTGATATTTTGAGGTGTTCCAGTCAGCAATGGCTTCCTTTAGTTCACAGTTAGCACCAACAAAATTCATCCTGTTATCCGAATGAATCTCTCTTATCCTCGACATGCTATGAAACAATATATTGCATTTATGCACGAGTCTGTGTCCAATGATGAAGCCAGGTCGATGTGCACTGAATAAATCTGCATAAATCACCAAGCATAAATCACCTTTTAACAAGGTTTCTTCCACGTTTCACCTCAAATGGGCCGAAATTATCTACACCAACTCTGGTGAAGGGAGGATCGTCCAGGATTACTCGATCTTGCGGAAGATCAGCCATTATTTATTTCTCAACCATTCAATGTAAGTGACAACATGTCACACACCTTGAGAGGACCTTCGAATAACAGCATTGGCACTAGGGATCTAAAATGTCTGTTGCAATTCAGAGAGCTTATAGTTGCGACCTCAATGCCCAGTTTTCTCATGTATCTGCTGGAGAATTAGATTAACAGCATTTAAGTTCTTAGACAAAATGATAAGCTGCTAACTATTCTCTGGCATAGCTGCCCAACATAGCCTTCCACTAACAACAAACCATCTTGAAGCACAGGGTTCAGTTTATACAAGTGGCTATAGCACTTCACATTCGGCCCTTCAAGAAGAGCTGAAATCTCATCAACGTACTTGATGAGAATTTGATTATGTCAAGCTCTGCTTTGTCAAGGTCTTGTACTGAAATAGATGTAGGCTTGAGTTAGATTCTCTTCCACCTTTGTGACATTCACTGTAACTCTTTTTATGTCAGGATCGTTCAACGTGAGTTTTGCATTAGTCACTGGAATCTCTGGCCAGCACTCTACTGAGCTAGAAAGGAAATCTGGACCCGACACCCAAGATGTGTTCTTCGTGAAATCCTCCACCTTTTGTTCTCTAGATGTGCAGTCAGCTGAATTCTAGCTTGAACTGAGATGTCTCCACTGTTCTACATCAGAGTCTTTCAGGGTTGCAGAAACTATGTTCGCTATAAGCGTACAGAAACGTGCCGTCTCATTCTGGATATACTTGAGTACCACCTTACTGTCAGTCCAAAAAATCAATTCTTCTGGATCTAGCTGTAGCTCTCTTCTCAGCACACCATCCATTTTCATGGCTACTGTTGCATCAGTCAGCTCTATATGGGGAATGGTAGGTTGCCTTAGAGGGGCCACTCTACATTTGCCCATTATAAAGGCAGAATGGGTCTTGTTATTCATGTTCTGCAAGTGAAGATAACTAACTGATCTATATGCCTCTTCACTAGTGTCAGCAAAATGATGTAATTGCTCAAATACACAGTCTCTGAACCCTTCAGGTTTAAAACGTTGCTGAAAAGTGTTCTAATGTAGGGAGACCAGCTAACCAGTCACACCACCGCTTCTTGATATGCTCTGGTACAGTAAGTCGTCATCCCATCCAATCCACAGCCTGCATAGGTCTTGCAGTATCACCTTTGCTGGTAAGACTACAGGTGCTAGAATGCCTAATGGATCATAAATTGAACCACCAACTGAAAGAAGCCCTCTTCTTGTTAAAGGACGATCATTGATGGTGATCTAATTTAAATGCATCTGACTCAACACACCAGTTGAAACCAAGAGTTCTCTCCAGAGGAAGTTTATACTGATTCAGATCCAAGGTTTTCATCTCTCCTGCCAGATCAGCCTTTGGGATAGACTCAAGTACTTTGTGGCTGTTGCTTACCCATTTGTGGAGACTGAAACCTCCTCTGGAATAGAGTTCAATAAAATCTTGACATGTCAGTATAGCGTCCACATAAAAATTTTGTAATACTGTTTGTACTACTTCAGTGTTTCCCCAGCATTCTCCACTATGATCATCAGCGTAATTTCCTAGGGTGAAACTGGCACAGCTAAGTGAAGACAGACCCAAGTGAACCTACAGTCATTTTGTGTTCTTGGCTTGGTTGTAATCACCACCTGTCCACCATAGAAATCTGAGTAAATTAGAGTCCTCGTCAGGTACTTTGACCTTGTGGAACACTGCTTCTCCATCTGCCATGATCACAACGGGTTCTTGTCTGAATCGAATTACAACACCAATTAAGCTGCTGGTCAGGTCCGGACCTTGCAGAAGTTGTTTGTTCAAGGATGTGTCCTGATAGAATCATGCACATGGTGCGGTATATACTATACTTGCCCTTCCTTGTGTGCCAACTCTTTAATGGATAATTGCACTGCATAGTACTTTTGAATAAGGTCTTCCATGAAGGCTGTGTATTCTTGCATAAAGCAGACATTCCTGATGAATTTCCGCCGTAAGTTATGTGCTTGATGTTCAGCAATCTTGCAGTTATTTGACATGTTGACCATTTTGTTCTTTAAAGGTAAACATATAGTGTAGTGGCCATCGACTAGTTTGACTGATTCCACGACCATGTCCTTGTCTTCTCTTGACATTTGTACTTTATGATGTTTTCCTCCCTCCTTGAACTGCTTGAACTACTGAAGCCACAAATTCTCTATACAGGCCACCAGTATATGGTTTACCACCCTCAATGTTGGGCTTCTCATATCTGTGCCACCACAGGCTTTCATTAAAGGCCCATTTACAGTCCAACCTAGTTCAGTTCTTACAGCATATGGTCCATCGCTGACACTGCTCGCCACCTTCCATGGCTCCACAGCCTTAGGTACATTTGCACCAATAAGCAATCTTAAATCACCTCCATTTTGAGGGTTGATTTACTTCTTTAAGGTAAGGCCACTTTTCGAGGTCCTTCTGTCATGGTATATTTACTTTACCTAGAGGTATTGACCTTTGCATGAAGGCATTTGGAAGTTCAATGAACTCATCACCTGAAAAACTGCTGAACTTCAAGCCAGACACCACATAAGTGCTAACTAGTTTCTCCTCGTTCATGGTCCTCAGCAGAATGTCTATCTTCCTCCCGCTGATTTTCAACTTATTCATTAATGCCATGTACAAAACATGGCAGAGCTCCCAGGGTCCAGAGCTCCCAGGGTCCAGAAAGGCATAAGCCAGCACCACCACATTACCCTTCTTAGCCTTTACTTGGACAGCAACTATTGTGCAGTTGACTTCTCCAGCCCCAATAAGCTCACAACGCTCTGCACAGACTACTGCACTCAGAACCTTTTGACCCTCACGGTCATCAGTCTTCTCTGGATCAGCAAACATAGCCCATTTCTTGATGTGCAGCAATGTAGGATGAGTTAAAGGACACATCGGACAGCTTGCCTTTTCCTTGCTCACGTGTCCATGCTTCGAGCAGCTAAAACACAGTCCTTTGCTCTTTGTGTGACCTGGCTTTAAGCTTACTACAGGACTCTATAGCGTGTTCACCTTTACAAAAGTGACACATCTTTATCACAGGTGCACTGGAATTCACGTGCTCCATTTGCACTGTGGCTTCCATTTGACTGCCCAATGGTGTGGCACTTGTGGTGAATGACTTCTTGATTCCACCTCTTTTCTGAGCTTTGTGATTGGCTTGTTTAATTGTGGCTCCTTTAGCAGCTGTGCGATCCTTTATGTCACCAAAGACTGGGTGAAGTGCTATTTTGGCCTGTTTGTTATGAACTCAACCAGATCTTTAAATTAGACTCTCTCATCACGTTGTTCCTGTAGGCTGCACACAACAGCTCTCCACTTTTCACAGAGCTTGTATGGAAGCTTTGCGGCAATAGTGTTCATGTTTATTACATTATCCAGTTCTTCCATGTACTGTAACTCACTTCGGTCATAGTGTTACAGCACGCTGTTAAAAAGAGTGAGAAGGCATTTAAAGCTTCTCCATCCTCCGGCTTAATAGGTGTCCAGCTCAAGACCTTACTCATGTAAGCTCCAGCAATCTTACAATCATTCTCAAAATGCTCTTTGAGTAGCTGTTTGGCTCTGTGATAACCTGCATGCGATGTTATATACAGACAACTTTGTAGTAGCTCTTTAGACTGACCACTAGTAAACTGCTCTAAAAAATCAAGACGATCTTTAAAGCTCTTGGCGCGGGATTCTACTCCATGCTCCAAGGCTCTTATGAATATATTGTAATCTAGAGGATCACCACTGAAAATAGGGATGCCTAACGGCAGCAAATTCTTTATTCTTTGCTGCTTCACGATTATCTCGGTAATGTTATTCTGGCGTGCCATGACACTACAGAGCATTTCTACTGCATCTATAGACTGATGTACTCCAGTGGGCTGGAGGTGAAATGGCTTAGATTCTTTATTTCCACTTTTCATGGTAATTATTGGATCTGGACTTCCATGTCCTGGTAGAAATCCAGAGTCAATAGTCATCTCACTTGCAGGACTTACATGGGATATGCGATGCTTTTCAAAACATTCGAATACCTTGAATTTAGCATCTGAGGTGGCAATAGTGGTTTGCAGCTCAAGTTCTTCCTTTTTTGCTTTCAACTCTGCTTCCTGATGTTCGATATTTTGTCTCTGCTTAAGAGCTGCAGCCTTTGCAAGCAATGTGGCTCTCTCCAGCACAGCTTTAAGCCGCGCTGAGGAGGCACTAGAAGACACTTTACGTCCAGTGTCAGACTCACTCCTTCTAATCTTAGTGCTTGAAGCAAAGCATGCCATGGATACACTATCTGAAGGCTTTACCTCTGCATCACAGTGTCCAGCTTGCTCTGCATGCTCCTCAACTGCCTTAATCCACAACTTGTTGCATAAATCCAGAGATACAACTAAATTTACATTCATACCACAAAATCTAATCTTGCCTGAACTCATCATCATGCATTAGTTGTTTTAAAGAGTCATTCAACTTCTATGACTCTTCTAGCGAATCCTGGTAATCCAGCCCTAATTACTGTTTAGCTATGTGCGTGTTTGAATCATATTCCATTAGCCACTCGATACGATTCGCTTGGTTGGTTAGCTGGCCTAATTTAGCTCTTCTGGCTTGGATCAACCAGTGCAGTTTATCCTGGACAGCCTTCACTGTCACTACTGTCTTTCTTTTTTGACCAGCTAATTCTTCCAAATCCGCTTCCATAATGACACTTACATTAAAATGATTCCAATTCCACCTGCTTACCACTCTGCCTTAGTGCTACCATTTGCGGGGTACGTATCTTCGGCCGATTATCTTGCTATTCCCCGAAGGGGTCGAATCTCAATCCTTGTATTCATGTGAATAATCTGACAAAAATGTGAGGGCTTCCTGATCGAGGAAACTAAATCCAAGAGAGGAGACTTGTAGCCCACTCGTGTTCCACTTATGTTCCACTTATGTTTTCCGTTTTAAACTTTTACTAAACTATAAACATAAACTGAAAATAAGTGAAGTCCGAGATTTCTGTATATCACAACAATAAACTTCCACTGTTTAAACACGGTTCAAACATGTTCAAGCATGATCCAAACATGGTCAGAAAAACGTGAACCTCCATCGTTTATCCCAAAGCTCAATGCCCCTCCTTCCCTCCCCCTTTACGTTTGTTAATGTAGTGACTATACCATACGCAGTGACTATACCACATGCAGTGACTATACCACACGCAGTGACTATACCACTCATAGTGACTATACCACATGTAGTGACTATACGTCCTTAAAATAACTGGCATCAAATTAGGCACATCATTAAACAAAATGAAAGTTAATTAATAACAAAATAAAATATAACTACATATCTATTATTATATAAACCTCTAGGAGGCATTTGGCTCCTACAATTAATATAGTGCAATAAGCAAGATTGCAGATACTTTACATATTTATCTATTTTGCTTTAAATCTGATTAAAGGCACGTGTGCTGCTTCTATAGAAATTGAATGAAATGACACTATTTCTGTACACTTTTACACTTATTTGGCAGTAACTTTTGTCCAAGTCAACATAAATACAAGAAAGGTTCAGAGTCAGACGGTCTGCTTAGAGAAATTGAGGTTAAGGGTCTTGGTCAAGGGTCCCGCAGTGACATCACTCTGCAGAACCTTGGGATTTGAACCAGCCACCTTCAGATCACAGGCACAGATGTCTAACCAGCTGAGCCATACAGTATTCCCTGCCAATACTAATGTACTGATAGGTCTGAGGAAGAAACTTCGGGTGAGTTTCAAGCAGACTTCTGTGGTTGAAAATATCATCAATGATAAACTGAACTTTCATGGCCAGTATAATAATATAGGCATTCGAAATGTCAAGACTTCGGAAATGGATTTCTGAATGTGAACATTAGACATCTGTGCAAAACCTCATAAAAACCTTAAGACGCAATTGCCGAGCCACTTGAAGACCACCATCACCGAAGGAACAACAATGGACTATTATTACGCTGTATGTTTCTAATGTATAATTTTTTACATTTGCTTGACATTTAGTTGCACAGCTGATGGATCCCTCCACCGAAACATACAGTTTTTATCCATCTACACGGCTGGATATGCAAGTAAAACACATGATGGCATTATAGAAGGTTTCATCCTAGAAATTTAATGGGGAACCTTTGGATTACACATCCATGTTCTTAATCTCTACTCCGCAAGGACAGTGTGAGAAGGTCAAGCCAACGGGAAGGTCCTCACCATCTCCAGGAAGAGCCAGCACGGTGCGGTAGCGACTCTGCCTCCCGTCCGCATTTTTGCTCGAGCAGGAGTGAGAGCACGTCGACCACGCTGACCAGGAGCTGACCACACAATCCCCAGGGCAGGACACCTCACAGGGTAACACTAAGGGCGGGGCATCTTCCAAGCACCGCTCACTGGGAACCGCCGAGTCTGTGGGATGGGATACAGAGTTCTAGATCAGGTACACCTACCACTGCATGGTGGAGTTGTGAGGCCACTTAACTGAAAGATGTTTGTTCTACCCAGAACCACTAGTGACTCAAAATTATGATGACCATGGTAATTTATAATAGATTTTTAACAGTTGAAAAATATGAAAGAAAAAAGGACTGTAAAAAGAGCTTTAAGAATAATGAACCCTGAAGATAGAAAAATTTCAACCGGCTTCACTATACAAGAAAATGTGAAACCCTAGTTTTACTTCAACCATTAATATAGCATAATTCTCATTGAAGTTTAATGCTTAAAGAGTTCACCCTAAAACTGTAAGGAGATACATTTTAGAGGCTTTAGTGCTATTTATTCATCTAGGTTGTTCTGCTGGAAGTTGTCTGGTTTTGGAGATATAAGTCGTAGAATTTTCAGCCTGGTCTCAACTGAATGATATTCTTTCTGCGGTGTTTAAAGCTTCAAAAAATACATCTGAAAAACTCAACAGCAATGTCTCTTACCAGAAATCATGAACCGGTGACTCATGATAATCTGCAGACTTTGTTGTGAGCAGTTTAATGTAGGAACTATTTTCTTCTCCTGATCTCCACACAACAATTGTATCACTGTGCAGAAGATATGACCATGAGCACCCCCACAAATTTTTCAAATGTATTTTTTGGTGCTTTAAACAATGCAGAAAGAGAGAAGCCCCTCTAAAACACATCTTTTTTTCAGTTTTGGGGTGAACTTCAATGATCGGCAGTTAACACACAAGTCTACTACTTTCCCCCTTTTTCAATGACCATGATTTTCAACAAACAAGGCTCAATACTGGCACTCAACTACTAAACAAACACGTATCCATTATACGTCACATCCTAGCAGGCTTAGACATGTATGTACAGCCTCCATTTGGGGCCAATTTTCTGTTATTGTCCACTTTGATGTTCTGGAACTGAATCTGAAGTGATACTGTAATCGCTGTCCTCTATTCACCTTGCTTAACCTCTAATTTAATTTAGAACAAACATGTTGGCCATAGAGAGAAAAAAAGATCATCCCAGATAAGCTTTTATTATTTCTGGGGGGAAAATTTTAAACATGCGTGAAGAAATGTGAAGTAAAGTAAGCATCTTAACAGTGATAATGCCATATTTACAGTGTAGGAAACAGTCTTTTTAATCCGGCTATTTTACAATAAAATAGATAAAATTCCCAAGTCATTCTCGGTTTTGTTATCTTCTAATCATGCACTGAAATTCTTAAAAAATTCTTTTGATCACAATCAGCATCTGTTGCACTGAATGCCTTATCACAAGAAAGTTACTGATGCTTTTTCCCCCAGAGAAACATATATAACCATGTATGATAATGATCCTTTCGTTAATGACACATTTTATTTCAGAAGCACCATAACTTGCCACATAACATTGTTTTGAGTTTTTTAATCGCAAAGGTAACACAAACTTTTTTCTGCAATGAGAAATAAAATTAATGAATATTCTCTTTTCCAGTTATTTAGGAGGTAAGTATCTTTATCTCTCCTATGCAACCCCTCTGGCCCACTTCCATTCGCCGCACCAGCCTCCGGCCCTTAGACCATGGCTGCGACTTCTCAGTCCACAGACGCCCACCTTCAGCCAAGTGGGACCATGTCTTACACACGTACCCTGCAGATATGCTGACGGTCAGTATCAGGAAGAATGGTGCAAGCTAAAATCTGCTCCTGCGGCTGTTCTGGTTCCTTGGCATCCTTAATAACATCTCTGTATTAAAACAACTTGATGTTTTTGCTGCTTACCGGTGTCATTAAACACAAAACCATTCATTTCCTATTCGAGTGAAACATAAAAAAGCAAGAAGATCTTACGAGCAGCAAATATGTGACTTTGGGGACAATAAGGGACAATACTATCGTGATGAGATTCTGGAGCTTTGAATAAGGACAACCTGGCTGTACAAAATACTGGAAATAAACCCAAAAGAAGTATGTGTAATAGTACCTTACAATATACACTAATAAAGTATTAATATAAATTGAAATAGCATTGTCTGTCTTGAGTGAATAGATACCTGAGGATAGATGACAGCCCATCCACTGGATGCAGGAACAAGGTCAGTGACTAACTTCATAAACAGTTTCTCAGGGACAATGTTTTTTTCAAATCTCTGGTGTCCCATTGGACTAGAAGAACAAATGAATAATAAACAAACAAACAAACAAAGTGCTGGGAATGATGCTACGTGGTGTGGCAGATCAGTTATATCCTTGCGGGAGGGTATTAATTTGTCAAAGTCTGGGAAGCACAAGACTTTGCTATTTAGCTCCAAAACCACATGTTGGAATGAGTCACATCTTTTCAGTTCAAGGGTTCAACAACAGCAACCTAAGGGCTAAGCTGCTATTTATTCAATTACCGTCCGCTCCCTTTGGAAGCCGCGAAGGCTGGAGATACAAGCTGTCATGAAATAAAGTGCGGCTTTTGCAGGGTGTGGGGGGGGGGGGCACTTAGAGGTTTACGGTGCCAACTAACCCAAGCAGCAGTAATGGTGCGCCGCAGCCATTAATCTGTATGATCCACTTCAAATGGTGAATCCTCAAAGTGAATGAATGCAGAAGAACACACTGCTGTCCACTTCACAGCTCACTCAACTAGACGTCTTAATTACGCAAGCTATTTTCCAGTATGATTCCAGCATCCTGTAATGCGACAATACGTGACTAAAAAGCTGAAACAACCAATACCGTTTTAATAAAATGAAACACGTATAGGCTATATGTAGCCCTTAAAGGTAAATGGAGATTCTCCTTTTTGCATGAAGCCACAAAGCAATTTAATCCTTTGTTATAAATTCATAAATTCAGATCATTATATTAAAAGCAGAAAAAGGCCTAATCTGAATAAGCCGAATGGAGTTAAAAGTTACTTTAGGAACTCTTTTATATCCTGTGTGTGGCTCGGGAACAGAAAATTTTTGAGCAGTGGTTGTCCAGCTAAACAGAAAGTGCGTATAATGCACACCTACTCTCGCTTCAGGAAAGAAAAAAAAAATAAAAAGGGAAAAAGTTGAATTTTCCATCGCAATTTCACATGGCTCTAGTAACTTTTTTTTGAATATAAGTCATGCCCTCAGAGAACATGATAAAAATGTGCATGCAGATAGTTCAAATTAACCTCTCCAGCCCACCTGAGATAGAGAAAATCCGCAAAATAACAGCATGCATTTCAGCCATTACGGAGACGTTTTCACAGCGGATTTAAAACATAGAATTATAATAAACAGTTTAATTTCCATCTTACACTCCTTCATTGGCAGAGGGAACTCAAGTTCCAAGAACTCTAATGTTGGAAAATTTTGACATGGCCAAAATTGGATGGATGTTGCCTTTGTATAACTGATTAGAGCTGTTTTAAAGTCCATTTGAGCACTGGATTATTGACCAGAGACCACACTTAAACATTCTTTTAAATAATAAAATTATTAAACTGGGGCTGTTACCTGCTACAGTAAATGCCATATGTAAAATGTCAAGATACAGACTACTGCTATGCCATGTTTCTGAGGCTGCACTTGATTTAGTATCTTTTAATGCCTTTCTGTAGCGTGGTCTTTGTCGAACCGCTGTTTTGTCTTATGGGATCAATCAAGCAGGCTGAGAGTGTGGAACATACAAAAATCCACAGAAAAGCAGAGATCATTTAAAAGACCATCGAAAGTATTTCACATTAGAATATGGGGATAAAATGCAGTGAAAATATTTTCAAGAGAGTCAGGGTTTTTTTTTTATATAACGTTTTTTGGACTGAGCTATTTAATTAAAAACATTTCATGCATGCAGTTATTACATTAAATATTCCTAATGCTTCCTACAAAACCAAAGCCATATATTGCAGTATAGGTGTTCCCCCTTTTTTCCTACCCACCAAAAACTGTTTCCAAGCTACTACAGCACATTACACATTGTTAATGTAATTTATCTTAAATGATATTGATATTTTGCTGATATTTCTGTTTATTACAAATAATTGAGGTGATTGTTAATATATTGTTTGCATTCTTACGGACTCCGAATTCCACAAATATGGAGCCAGATTTTACCATTAAACTCGACAGTACACGTGTATTTGTTTTGCCTGTTTTGACTACTTAAAATTTTAGTCTTTATTACACATTTATTACACATTAAGATCTTTTTACACGAAGTTCGATTTGGTGTGAAAAGGCCTTAATATGGGATGCAGCAGTTTTGTTTTTCAATAAGGGACGATCCCATATTCTAAGGGACAGGTACGTGCCAACCCTAACACGGGTTCACAATATATTTAAATTACTTTAGAAAACAAATGTTTTTTTCTGAAAGTTATTATATTTGTTTATAATTTACAGATGTACTTGTAAATTTCTTATATTTATTTTCTGGCAGTTGTCTGGAGGATTTTTAATGTCCCCTTGTCAGCTGATGTCAAAGATTTATGTTTTCAGCATGTAGATATACAGACAGTGCATTCACATTTTTAAAGATTAAAATGTCCTCTTTTAGGATTAACATGTAATAAAACAAGGAATGTTTCACAAGCCGCTTCCAATAAGAGTGGATTCATAGGAGATTTTTCACATATGAAATTACAAAAAAGTAATTTGCAAAGTATTCAAATTTATTAAATACAAAACAGCGTTTAAGATGTCGACATCATCAGATTACTCTGATGGGAACTATGCTATGGTTTATGAAAATTAATACCTCTTTCAAAAAGCTTTTAAAGCCCAAAATGCTATCTTTAAATGTTCAAAAGTAATATTAATCTCCTCACGAATCATTATTCAGCATATTGATTTACATTAAGTCAGTGAGCTGCACAAACTTAATCTAGAGTGAATGTTCAAAAGTTTTAAAAAAACAATGCATATGAAGCCCTTATCCCCATATCCTACTGCTTGTCATTATATACTGTGGTTGAACAAGAAGAATGAGGAATAACTGCCTGGAATCAAAG